TTTTGTGAGTCACTGGATGGAAGTATACTTTAATGGAGGTGCATGTTGTAAACCCTGAGTTATTAGTTGTGTCCGTATTGGTCTTAAGAGGTAGTGAATGTTGTCCTGACATAGTAAAGGTCAAGGCGTCTCATTCCATTTGGGTGAGCCTTGCAAGGCAGCCTCAGGATACACAACATTGGGGTGTAGAGGCCACCTTAATAGTCATCTGTTATTAAAATCCCAGTACAAGTCTTTAAATTTTAAATCGAGTACTTTGGTTCTTTATTTTAGGAGACGTACTTCTTTTTTGTAAAGGAGCAGACTCAGCAGTTTTCCCCAGGGTGCGAAAAGATGAAATTGCATCGACTAAAGTCCATGTGGATCAAAATGCAGTGGTGAGCCTACACCCCTCCCCACAAAAAAACAGAAATGCTGGAGATGACTGTGCTTATGGGATTGCTATTGAATGAATTTTAGCTCATTTTTATGGTCTATTTTTATATTTGAGAATTTAGTAATACCATTTTCCTTATTTTAATATGAAACATTATCCTAAAGCGAATTTCTCTTCATGGTTTGCAGCCTTCAAGACTTTTCAAGAATCTTTGTTTTGTGTTCTGCTTTTTTTTTTTTTACCCCAAGAGCTATTTTGTTATTATGAAGCTAATTGAATATTACCTTTTTAGTTATAATCTGTTCTTTTTTTTTAACTCAAAATGTGTCAGATTTCTCTTTTGTGTGGAAAAGCGAGAGTATTTAAAGAAAGTGTGGGTTTTTTTTCAATTAGTTGGATAACCAGAGATATCCTTCTTTGCTTCTAGGATGGGTATCGGACACTGTGTATAGCCTTCAAAGAAATCACTCCAGATGAGTATAAAAGAATTGACAGACAGCTCATAGAGGCAAAAATGGCCTTACAAGACCGAGAAGAAAAAATGAACAAAGTTTTTGATGACATTGAGAGAAACATGAATTTAATTGGAGCCACTGCGGTGGAAGACAAGTAACTAGAAAATGATATTCTTGTTATTGTAATGACCAGACATTTAGGATGGTCTCTGTTCGGATTGGTAATTTATCCTCAAATTTTGAAATCTTTGGTTTCGCTTTGTCTACACACCAGATTTTGAACTGTTTGTGGGAATGATTGTTAAGTATTTGTAACTTAGAAGAATGAATCTGTCATCTCTAAGGTCTTTTAAATAGTTACTAAGCCATCCATTTATTTATGCAGATATTTATGAAATAGTTGTACTGTGTAGGGAACTTTGTGCTGGGGGTATCATTTGATCAGATGCCTGGTAGAATGGGTAAGATTTTGACAGAGATGAGCAGAAAGGAAATTCAAGATAAAGTAAATAAAATGAGAGCTCATTCTAGCCTGGTTTAAGACTAGAGCTTGTTTTTGCATACTTTAAAATGATTTGCTTTAAGTGTGTAGACTTGAGCTCTGCCAGGTATCATTGTAGGGCTCCAGCATTGACCTGCCTGAAAGTTTTAGACTCTTAATATTTTAGGAGTTTTTTAGAAATTTAAATACAAATTGTCAGCTTTAGCCGAACAAAAAGTAACAAACATATTCAGCCACACTGGAAGTTACGGAAATTCTGATGGAATTCATTTAATCTAATTTCATTTTTATTCTCTTTCCAAAAGGATCTCAAAAAAAGTGTCATTCTTCTTTCATCCTTGCCTTTCAGAATTATGCTTAAATTCTCTTTCTGGGTGGTTGGCTTTCCTATTTTTAAAGCTCCTCAGGGATGGAATTCTAGTACTGACTTCCCTCATCTCTCATTAGAATGTCTTTGGCCCTTTCTGTTTTGAATCATGTTAAGTATTTGTATAGTGAGATATAAGATATAATGAAATATGCTAAAGTGACAATGAATACAAATGCTTGGTGAGTTCCTGACATTTTAGCTAAGAGCGATGAGTCTTAATTCTACCATTGGATCCCAGTTACGTCAAGAGATGTCATGGATTTTTCCAAACCTCGTTGTTTGAAATTCACTTTAATAAGTAAAACTATGCCAGAGAGAACACTCTTAGAAAGAGTAGAAGATATACAAGAAAAGCAACTGTGATAACATGTCAGGACTCCGGAATTGCTGTGAATTATAAAAATATTCTATTTAACAGGCCTTCTTGCAGAATCTGTCAGGAATTTTTGAGGATAACGAGATTTCCTTTGTGTTCCCAGGCTACAAGATCAAGCAGCTGAGACCATTGAAGCTCTGCATGCCGCAGGTCTGAAAGTTTGGGTACTTACTGGGGACAAGATGGAGACAGCCAAATCCACCTGCTATGCCTGCCGCCTTTTTCAAACAAGCACTGAACTCTTGGAACTGACAACAAGAACCATCGAAGAAAGTGAAAGGAAAGAGGATCGATTGCATGAATTGTTGATCGAATATCGTAAGAAGTTGCTGCATGAATTTCCTAAAAGCAGTAGAAGCCTTAAAAAGTAAGAAGATGCTTTAACTTCTTATATTTAGACATTGGTACAGATATAAATCACAGCTGCTTATGCAGAAGGCTGCATTTTCTATTTATCATTCTTTGTTTGCAGATGTTTTATCCTTATAAATTCAAACCTTCCCCAAAGCCAGGGCTAATGGCCCAGTTGAGATTGTTTGGCACTTTACACCCCTCCTTCAATTTGAAAGAAAACCCTGCACTTCTCAAGGTTTAGAAAACTAGTTCAAATTCTCAATGTTTAGGGTCTGGGTATTTAGCACTAATAGTCTAGCCTGGTTCATGTTAAGAAAAAATACTGCTTTTCATGGTCTCTTAAACTAAATGTAATAAAACCAGTCTCCGTAATAGTTTCCTGGCATTTCGAGATCCTAGAGCCATTTTCTGTGTGGATTTGCATGCCCCAGAACTCCAAAGGGAGCCATATACTTGTTCACATGGACACTGACTGCTTTTTCAACTTGCTGCTTAGGAAGAACTTGTGGAACCTATGTGTCTCAAGGAAAGCCACTGGTACATAATAATTCAGTGACATATTTTTCTGTACTTATCATTGACCAAGGCTTAACCTTGTCTAAAGCAATTACTGGAATTTACCTTTGCCATAAGCAAATCGATTCCCTCTTTAGAAATGCCACAGGGGCATGTGGCTCAGTTGGTTAGAGCGCGTGCTCTGAACAACAAGGTTGCTGGTTCGATCCCTGCATTGGCCACTTTGAGGTACACCCTCCGAGAGAGAGAGGGAGAGAGAGAGAGAGAGAGAGAGAGAGAGAGAAGGGGAAAGAAAGAAAGAAAAGAAAAAAAGGAGGGAGGGAGGAAATGTCACAGGATGTGCCTGCACTAAATTCAAAGACCCCTAGATAATACTGCTTTCCATTTCTCAAGCACATGTTTGTTGTAGGAACAACGTTAAGCACTTTCTGTAATTATTCTCATTTAATCTTCATAACGACCAGTAAGACCAGTAAGGCAGTCTTATCTTCTTCATTTTGCAGGTAGGGAAGCTAAGGCTCAGAGAGATGAAGTGACTCCCTCAGGGTCACACAGCTAATAAAGGGGTGGAACGGGTCTGTCCAGTTCCCGAGCCCCTGCTGTATCTTTAAAAACTATGCTATCTCTGTGTCCTCATCTCTACTGTCTAAACCAACTTTAAAACTGAGTAGACCACATTCATGAGGCTATGGCCAATTCTAAAACGGCTGTTGTTCTTCAGGTGCTTGGGCATCAGTGAAAATAAACAGGTTTTTATGAATTGCCTATGATAAGTATTTCCTTCCTTTAGCCAAATGGTACTTACAAAGGCACTCCAAATTACATGCATTTTACTTGACAATTTCTCTTAGTCTGCTCGGGCTACCATAACAAAATACCATAGACTAGGTGGCTTAAGCAGTAGAAACTCATTTCTCACATTTCTGGAAGCCAGAAGTCTGGGATCGGGATGCCAGCATTGTTGAGTTCCGATGTGGTTCCTCTTTCTAGCTTGCAGAAAGCTGCCTTCTTGCTATGTCCTCACATGGCAGAGAGGAAGCCCTGATGTCCCTTCTTTCTTACAAGGGCCCTGATCCCATCATAAGGGCTGCAGCTTCATGATCTCATCTAACCATAATCACCTCCCAAAGGCCCCACCTCCAAATACCACCACACTGGGGGCTAGGGCTTCAACATAGGATGGTGGGTGGAGGGGGCACAATCCAGTCCATAGCACCATTCAACAGTTCTGGGCCAGTTTTATAAAAGCAGGGCTTATGGAAAATTTAACTCATCAGCTCAGAACATCCCCACTTCCCAGCTCATCTGTTGGAATTGGGTCAGTCTTTCCCCAGGTTACATGAGTGTCAATCACCTTTGCCAGCTTCTGCTCCTTTGTCCCTTCCACTGAAGACCAGCCACCAAGCCTTATCTATGTTCCCATTTTCACCACTCCACATCACGTGTAGCAACTCAGGCCTCAAATCCCTGAAGCCCGTCTGGCTGACAAGTGGGCCTGAAGTGTAAAGTACTGCCCACATCACAGCCCTGCTCGGAAACCTTTAGTGGTTCTCCATCACCCACAAAGTACGATCGCACCAAGGGCTCACGTGGCCATTTCAGCTTGCTTTCCTAGTGCACCACAACATGCACTCTCCCCTACCACGTTCGGCCCTGTCTTTCAAGTCCCGTTTCAGTATCACACTTCACAAAGAGCCCACTGTGCTTCCTGTGGGTGTGTGTGGTTCAGATCACTGGATATTGAGAATTTAATGTCTTATTTGGTTGGGCCTGTTCTATCGTGTATGCTTCTGTCACCCCAAGGAGATTTTCTATTCTCAAAGGAAAGATGAGTTAATAACTTGCCATGCTTCTATATGGCCTACTTATAGTTGATGTTGACAAATATTGCTTCATTGATTATTGAGCCACCGGTTTCTGAACATTAAGCCAGCTCTGTGAGTAGGGGAGCAAAGAAGAACACATGATGATAACTCTTTAATTAGTGAAGAAATGCTCATAAAATTATGAAGCAAAATATGGATAAGTACAAAATATGGTGGTAGCAGTATATACCAAAGAAATAGGGAATAAAGAGTGATGAGGCATATTAGGCTTTCACTACTCAAAGGTTGGTCCAGAGAGCAGCTGCATTATTACAAAAGCTTGTTAGAAATGTAAACTCTCATGTTCCCCCGCAAACCTACTAAATCAGAACTTGTACTTTAACAAGATTTCTTTAAACATTAAACTTTGAGAAGCATCAAATTAGACAAATGAATCTACAATGGTGAGATCCTGCTGTGTCTAATACTTCCACTGCAGTGGTTCGGAAATGGCACCCAAGATTCCCTGGGCTGAAATTGACTAATCACTGTTTTTTCCTTCGTTGCAAAAAGAAAAAAATGACATGTTAATTGATGAAATTTTGTCAGTTGTAAGTTTTCCTCCATATGTTTTTCTTAAATACTTGGCATTGATTACGTTTGCCTTTCCTGGCACCTAATACCTCTTAATCCTGGCTATGCATGAGGATCACTTATAGAGCTTTTAAAAGCATACTTATATGTAAAAGCCCTGCCCAAGGTACTCTGATTTAATTTGGGGACAGACCTCAGGCATGGGCAATTTTTTAAAGCTGCCCAGATGATTCTAATGGGAAAGCTATGGTTGAGAACCACTAACCTAGTATAAAATGATACTTAAGGAATGTCTATCGTTACTGTATGTTATTCTTTAATGAACACCATATCCTTAGGTACTCCATCTTATTTGAGAAGCCAGGTCTACTGATGATTTTTATCATTCAGGCAAAGATACGTATTAGGAAAAGGTCTTTTGTGATCTGTATACCCCAAAGCCATTTTGTCTTTTCCTTGTATTGTTAAGGAGTTTCTAGATTGACTAATTATTTGTCTTCGTATCAGAGTTTGATCTGTAATTTCCAAAATTCACCTTCAGTTTTTTATATAGAGATTGACTGCTAAATGTCCATTATTTTTATACCTTTTAGAACTTCATGTCATCTGTGTGGGCAGCTTGAGTCTCAAAGATGTGAAGAAAAGTCTCTCTTATGCATTATTAGAGACAGTTGCTTCTTTAGAATTTACAGGTGCAGGAACAAAATTGATGATGGCTCTTATATGAGACCCTCCTCTTTGTAGTTTAAAAGAAACCAAGTTCCTAAATAGAAATGTACAGTAGATTCAAATATAGCATTGTTTTTCTTTTTCAGAGCATGGACAGAACATCAGGAATATGGGTTAATCATTGATGGCTCCACATTGTCACTCATATTAAATTCTGCTCAAGACACCAGTTCTAACAATTACAAAAGCATTTTCCTGCAGATTTCTATGAAGTGCACTGCAGTGCTGTGCTGCCGGATGGCACCCTTACAGAAAGCACAGGTAACTGCATGTTAGTTGGTGTTCTATTCCAGGGACTTCAGAATACAGATGTGTAAATGTTCACTTTTCATTGGTGTCTTCTTCAAAGAGCCATTACCTTAGTACATCTTCCCTGGCTTCATCCTCTTTGTGGTCAAAGTCAGGAGCCTTCCCACCAATTTCCATTAAATCTGTGTTTCACCTTGCTCTTCCCTCACGTTGGCTGTCCAGTTCCTCGCCTTCCAAACTTCTCTAATGAATGCTTGGTGCCTGCCACCTCCGTTCCATTGCTCCTGCCTCCCCTGGTTCATTAGCCCCATGTGTTCGTTCTTCTCATCTTATTCTGTTGGATCGCCTAGAGGAGAGCAATGACCTTGGTGAATCCATCGTCCTGTCTTCCATTCTCCTCCTCAGTTCCCCATTGCAGTTATTTCCTCCGTAAAACTGTACTCCCTTAGTTTCTGTGATGGTTCAGGGTTCTGACTTTTTTTTCCCTACTTGGCAATCTAGTGTCTTTTTATTTTGTTTCATCCTCTACTCCCTAATTATCAGTTTTCTCTGAGGCTAAGCCTTCCCTCTGCTTTTCACTTATAGCCTATCTCTAGATAAGGACATCCATTTCTGACTTCTATTGATATATCTCTGGTCTTGATTTTTCCTTTTCATTAGGTCTCGTATTTCGAGCTGTCTGCTAGACAGCTCCATATGGCTCCCCCACTGTCACATTAAATTCCTAGTGTTCAAAACACATCTTAACAATTTTCTCCTTCAGGCCAGTTTATGTCTTAATTATTCCTGTTACCAGTGCCATTTTTCTTTGGCTTCCTAAGTATCCAAACCACCACTGACCCCACTCTTTTCCCTCACCCCATGTGTAGTCACCATGTCTTGTTGATTCTACCTTTTGTCATAGCTCTTGTTTTGGTGCCATCTTTCTTTAAAAAAAAAAGATTTTATTGGGGAATTGGGGCAGGGGAACAGACAAGTTGCTGTTTTTTTGTTCTTCAGTCTAGTTGTGGAGGACATCGCTTCACTGGCCCATGTTGGTATTATCATTGTGCTCTTCCTGGCTGAGGCAGTCGCCCGCCAGCCACTGGACCGATGCTCACAGCGGCTCTTACCAGTTACGCTGGCTGCCAGCCACTCATGGTAGCTTACGGCAGCCCACGCTGCAGCCTGTGCCATCGCCTGTGACACATGTAGTTTCCTAGTACCTTAGGATGAAGGGCAGATGATTCAATGTGGCACTCGGGGCTCACCCTGTTGGCCCTCAATATGTCTGTTTATACTTTGTGTCACTCTAACGCCCATATCCAGTGTGAATTGTTTCCAATTTGTGTTCCTTCCACATGCCATGCACAGACCAGCTTCCAAAGCTTTTCTCTTATCGTTTCCTCATCTGGAATTCTCTCTCCGTTCCGCTAAGCCTAACAAACATTTTACTCACAATAAAACCCAGCTCAAGGGCCACTTACCATAAATACTGTCCTTTCCAGCTCCTCCAGCCCACATTGATCTGCTTCTCCTTCCCTGTACTCACTGGATCCAAGTAGAGTGTCAGTTACACACTTTTACACTTCTGTATACACTGTGGAGCATTCTTCATATGTGTTAGTCTTGCTTCTGTACATTCTTCAGCTGCTTGCTCCTAGACCCGGGGGATGACTGTGTCTTTGACTTTTCCTTTACACACACCACACCCACTGCCTCACACATGCATGTGCGCACACACACATGCACATACACACAGAGCCCATCCCAATATGGGGCATTGTCTCTGTCCATTTCTTCTCACTCTCAATCCCCACCACAGTCAGGTGCACTTCTTTTTTTTTCTTCACCCTTCAGAGCCCTGGTTAGCCTCAGCTGGGGAAGCACATCCTGCCTGAACAGTATCCGTAGAAATCTGTCCCTTTTCTCAGAGGCAGTCCCTTTTTCCCCCCTGCATTCATTGTATGTTGCTCAAATTGCTCCCTGGGTTGTGACTACTCCATTGCCCAGGCTGATGTCTGAATTCCTGATCCCACGCTGCTTCACCCACCCAGAATATGGAGCCCCCCATGGTTCAGTCCTCACTGTGTTTTATTTCTCTCACTGCCGTCACTCTTTCTGGGCTGTCACCTACTCATCGGTCATAGCCAGATAAGTGATTTTCAAGTCACGTCTCCAATCCAAATCTTTGGGGTTCTGCTTTACTTCTCTAGTTGCTTACTGAATGTATCTTCTTGGGTGTCATTACCATCTCAACTCAGGCTTCCCTAAAGCCCGACTGTTTTCTTGAGATCATAGACCTTCTTAAATGGACAGCTTAGATGACAATGTCATATATCCCCTTGCACAGATTATTGCATATTGTTATCTTATATTGTTAATCTAATAGCTAATATTCTTGTATCCATTCCCTATCTCTATTATTTCATCATATTCTTGTTAAGGTGTGTGACCAAGCCTTATGTGTTTATCAGTATTTGCACATTGAATTACATACAGTTATAGTTGATCAATAAATAGCTTTTGGTAAATTGATTTCTTTTTTATGAAGCTATCCTAGAGATTGAAGAGAAGTTCTAAATCCAGGTGACCTGGGGCTCAGTGAATATCCCATGTTTATCTATCTAAATCTTTCATTATTTTATAGTCCATGACCATAGATCATTTTATCATTCCACAAGGAGAAGCTTTCATCTTTTTATGCTTTTCATGCAGAAGCTGTCACCCTTGATCATTTCATGGCCTTCACTAGATCTTTCCTGGCCACAGTTTTTCTTCCTTGTGGTGCAAATTATTACTGCACATGGTATAACAGGAGTAATTAGTTTAACCAGTATTGTAGCCCATCAAAAACAAATTTGGTTTGGGTTCTTCAATTTTTATCTTTGATTCACAGGTGATTTGTTGCAGTCTTATAAAGTTTTTAAAAAGAACCCAGATGAGAGAAGGGATTAGGGGAAAGCTGGCATTTCACAGTAACATCATTTTTGCATTAAATGGAATTGGATATGGGTTTTTTTGGTAAGCAATTTAGTACCAAATAAATCCTGACTGAATTTTGTTTAAAGACTGGGGGGGTAATTCAGCCTCATACAAATTATTTGTAATCCAGTTATGTTTACAGTGAACTTTATTTATGTGAACTGGTGAAAGCAATTGTCAGAACAGAATTTTGCAAGGCATTATTTAGCTACTGAATTATATTAGCTTTTTAAATGCTGCTAGATTCCAAGGGGTTTTGAGGGTTGATACATAAAGCAGTCAGCTAATACATAGGGTGAGAGGACAGCTGCTTACCCAATACACTTCCCACAAGAAACTCCACCAGAAGGCTGATTTTACTCAGTACCTACCAAGAACACGGCATTGAGCTGCATTGTGTGTTGACACCTTGAAGAGACACTCAGGGCACAGTGACAGGTTTTTACACATATCTCAGATCTCTTTCTGCAAATCTCACCATCTTTAAGATGACCCTTTTAAAATGCATGCCTATAGGAGAGAGAAAATCATATTGGGCAGTGGGAGAAGTTGAGTTGGCAGCTAGATGAATGCAAGAATTTGACATTAGATAAGTCCCTGGGAATAAGGGTCAGGGTGTACCAAGGGGATCAGCAGGGAGTAAAGAGCGAGAGGCTATCAAAAGCATTGTTCTCTCACTTCCCACTTTTGTTCTAGTAGCCCTATCCATGGCACCCCAAATCAGCTTTCTAGTCTCCACTGCCACACATTCAGCACCTAATCTGAAAGGACACATGAAACAATGACAAAAGAAGGAAATGTGTTGATCTCTAATATAGGTAGGAGACGGGTATTTGACAGTTTATATATTCACAGAACCACAAACAAGTGGCTGCTAGTGTTAACATTTTGCAAAGCCGTGTTCTTCTGCCTCTCAGAATTTGAGACTGTTGTACATACTTGTATATGCAAAAATTACCTTTCTGTTTGCAAGGCCTCCATTTACAAATGTGAATGAGGCATCTATCCCTAATGTGGTACAATCTCACACTCTGCTTTGACCTTTTCTATACTTCTTTTTGTATTTAATGTTTAGATCGTCAGAATGGTGAAGAATTTAAAAGGCAGTCCAATAACACTGTCAATAGGTGATGGTGCCAATGACGTCAGTATGATCTTGGAATCCCATGTGGGAATAGGTAAGAAACAAACATCTTATGAGATGGCAGCTGTAAGGTATCAGTATTGCTTTTAGGTAGAGTGGTCTTATATTCTAGAGAGATTGTTTTGGTTGCTCACCCTGAATTCGAATTGGAGAATGATAATTGTTCACTGAAGGTCCTCACCTGATCATGCAACATGTCCCTCCCCAAGTCTACCCCTTGTGGGAATGCAGCAACACAAAGTTAGAGGATCTTTTGAAATGAACCAAGTAAAGTGATTTCTCCAATCTACTGACAGCGCAGTTGATCATTTAGCTTTCGCTTTGACAGCATGCATGAAATTTGATTGATTTTCCGCTCCGGGCCAGATCGCCTGCTTATGTTGCTGCACTGTACCTTTTGAGATTCTTAACTGTTTGGTACTAAGAAATGATAATTACTTGATTGGTTTTCCACATGGCAATATTTATGGGTGGTTGAATTTATATGTTGGCAGGCAACAATAGCTTCTCTACAGCCTGCATCATTTTTGCCCATCAGGCTGCTGGTAGGCAGCAATCCTAACACCACAGTAAGATTTGGGGTTTTTTTGTTTTGTTTTATTTTTGGAAGGGGAGAAATAATGGAATCAGTATCTTGGAAATTATTCTACTGCTGTTTGGATTCCCAAATTCTTTCCACTTGGAAGTGACCCTATGTAGTGTGGACCCCCCCCCTCAGTTCTACTCATTGGTTATCCAGTGTGGAAATGGCCTAAAGCTGCTTGAGCTCATGGTAACCTGGGCTACGACTGAGTTTCACTCAGTGAAAGGACTTCACCATCATTGTCACTTTTCCGTTTGGAGCTCCTGGACCACAAACCCCAGGTCTCTGAGTTGCTTTAATATTGCACCTAGTATATTGCCATGCACAAGTAAGCACTTACTAAGTGGCTTTCAGATAATTTTCAGATGAAATGTTTGCTTTATACTGATTAAAATAGTTATTCTACTTCATTGTATATTGTGTTATAAATAGGTGATTACCAATTAAACTTAGTTGTACTATTTATTAGTTAGTCTCTCTGTCATTGCCAAAGAAAGCACTTTTTGGTTTAAAAAAAACTAAGCCAAACTGTACAGTTGAACTATAACATGTATGCAAGTTAAAAATATAAAAATAAATCAGGGGGTTGCTTATTCTGTAAAATACTCACCCTATAGAGATTTTCTTTTTTTAGGTATTAAAGGCAAGGAAGGTCGCCAAGCATCCAGGAATAGCGATTATTCTGTTCCAAAGTTTAAACATTTAAAGAAACTGCTATTGGCTCATGGACATCTCTACTATATGAGAATAGCACACCTCGTACAATATTTCTTCTATAAGGTATGTGATCAAATCTTTGCAGTTTAACTTATGATGATTTAATCCAGGATGGGCTCAGCTTGGACATAGTATTGTTTCTCCTTTTTTCATGTTTCTTTTGCTGTCTTCAGACTGAAATTTGTGGTCAGCAAAACAAAAAATCTATTTACAGAATCAGAAACCAGAAATTCCTTTTAATGCAAGAGATTTGCGATGAAATTTTAAGTCAACTTTCTTAAAGTGTAAATACAATAAAATGTACCCATTAAAAGTGTACAGTTCTATTTTTGACAAATGTATGCATTCATGTAACCACTACCCCAGTCAAAACTAGAACATTTTTATCATCCCAGCAAGTTCCCAGATTCTCCTTGCCAGTCAGTCTCCTCCACCCCTGCTCAAACAGTGACTAATCTGATTTATGTTACTATATATAATACTATATATAATATAGGGTAATACATAGCATATAATATACAAATTTAGATATAATTTATGCAATATATACATTAGATACTGTTTTAGAACTAAATAGAATCACGTGTACTCTTTTGTGTCAGGCCTATTTTATTTAGTGTAACGTTTTTTAGCTTCATCAATAGTTGGTTCCCTTTATTTTATCCTGAACAGTACTCTAAACTACTCTTTTTTTAATAGAATTCTCTTTTCAAATGAAATGACAGACAAAGCAGACAAAAGTAGGATTGCGTTGACTAAGGGTGGTGGGGCTGCAACATCGTACTTACTCAGCCTCCCTGTCCTACCCAGAGGTTCCTCAGAGCACAATTTGGAATTCATGCATATAATTTAAGCCATTCATTGTATGCACCATGAACCTGACTTACATAAAGGTGAAGTAACTGGGCTAAAGTATGCAAATCATTTTCAGCCGCCATAGCCCAGATGTTGATCTGTCCTGTGTTCAGTATAGTTTTTAAAAGTTTTTTTCCACTTTTCATTTTGAAATGATTTCTGGCTTTAAAGAAGTTTCAAAATTAGTGAGATGAGTCTCATAATGCACTTTGCCCAGCTTTGCTGACTCTTAATACCTTAGATAACCCACAACACAGTTATCAGGGTTAGGAAATTGATATTAATTGGTGCAGTATTAACTTGTCTACATACCAGATTGGAATTTTGCCAGTGGTCCCACTGATACTCTCTTCTTTTTTAAAATTAAAGTTTATTGGGGTGACAATGGTTAGTCAAGTTACATAGGTTTCAGGTGTACAATTCTGTAATACATCAACTATATATCACACTGTAGGCTCATCACCCAGAGTCAGTTCTCCTTTCATCATCATATAGTTGATCCCCTTTTTGTGGTTCATTTTATGCTCACACTTGCATTTAGCTATCATATCTCCTTAGTTTTCTTTAATCTGGGATAGACCCTGTGTTTTTTGTCTTCATGATGTAAACATTTTTAATAGCACTGGCCAGTTAGTTTGTAGAATGTCCCTCGACTTGGGTTTATATAAGTTTGCTTATTATTAGATTCAGGTTATACACTTTTGGCACAAATACCACCCAAGCAATATTGTAACCTGCTCAGGGCATTACATCAAGGAGGCACATGTTAATATGCCTCATTCGTGATAATGTTGTTTGATAACCTGATTCAAATGGTGTTTTGAGGCTCTCAAGACCCCTCAACTTAGCTCTGAATAATTTCATTTGGAAAGAGCATTCTGCTACTAAAACATATTTTATTCTGAGTTAAAATCCATTACTATCATTCTTTATTCTATTACTCAGATCATCCTAAATATTTTATTGTGATAAGAACACTTGTCATGAGCTCTACCCACTTAGCAGATTTTTAATTGTACGATACGGTACTGTTAACTGTAGTCACCATGTTGTACAACAGATTCCTAGAACTGACTCGGCTTGCATAATTAAAACTTTACACCCACTGAGTAGCGACTTCCCATTTCCTCCTCCCCACATCGATACCTTTTTTGAAGACTTCTGTATTTTCTAGGACCACATGATGATGTAAGCTCCTGTTATGTTTTTCCTTCTCCAGTCCTAGATTAAGCATTTCTCCAAGGAAAACTGGTTCCTTTTTTTTGCAAATGGTATTTAGAAATCAAGGTTGGGTACTAGTGTGCTTGTTGCTGCTGAGCTGAAGTTGGTCCTCGGCCTTCTCAGTGACTGTTTATGCTGATACCTTTGATATCAGCCAACACCACGAGATTTATTCTAACCTTTCCCGTTTCCTTATTTGTAACTCGTTTCTCCAGAGTTGAAAAACCTGGTTCTCATTATCCTCAATTCTTTACTCATTTGCTCAGTCCTAGAAAACACTTAAAAGTTGTTTCAGAATTGCTAACTCAGACTCCTGCGAGAGACAAACTAACAAACTTCAGCAATATGTTTGCATGCAGTTCTTTGTGTCTTTAGCCTTGGAGTGTATAGTCAAAATAATGTTTACAAAGTTTTTTTTTCTATTTCTACCATCTCAGTGTGGTTTTGTTATTTATTTGTAATATAATTAGGTTAAATTTTCATTTATAATCCATTTGGGTCCTTCCTTTCCAACCCTGACTGACTTTAATTAATTAAATTTTTTTCCCTTTTCACAAATTTTATTTTTTTTATTATTATAGTTTCAGGAGTACAAAACAACATAGTGATTACACATAAACCTCACAAACTGATAACCCCAATAAGTCTAGTACCCATTTGACACCATACGTAGTTATTACAATATTATTAACTATATTCCCTATGCTGTACTTTACATCTTCATGATAGTTTTTTAATAGTTGACATTCAATATTATTTTATATTAGTTTCAGGTGTATGGCGTATTGGTTAGACATTTATATAATTTATGTACTGATCCCCCCAATAAGTCTAGTACCCATCTGATGCTATACATGTTTTTACAATATTATTGACTATATTCCCCAGACTGTGCTTTACATCCCTGTGACTATTATGTAACTACCAATTTGTACTTCTTAATCCCTTCACCTTTCTCACCCAGCTCCCCAAACCCCCACCCATCTACTAACCATCACTTTGTTTTCTGTATCTATGGGTCTGTTTCTGTTTTTGTTTGTTCATATTGTACTTTGATTTCACATATGAGTCAGAGCATACGGTATTTGTCTTTCACAGTCTGACTTATTTATTTCACTTAGCACAATACAGTCTAGGCCCATCCATGTTGTCACAAATGCTAATATTTCATTCTTTTTATGGATGAGTAATATTACATTGTATAAATGTACCACTGCTTCTTTATTCATTCATCTATTGATCAGCAATTTGGTTATTTCCATGCCTTGGCTATTGTAAATAGTGCTGCAGTGAACATAGGGGTGCATATATCTTTTTGAATAAGTGTTTTGGATTTCTTTTAATAAATACCCAGGAGTAGAATTGCTGGGTCATAAGGTAGTTCTATTTTTAATTTTCTGAGTAACCTTCCAACTGTTTTTCATAGTGACTACACCAATTTGCAATCCCACCAACAGTGCACAAGGGTTCTCTTTTCTCCACATCCTTGCCAACGCTTGTTGTTTGTTTATTTATCGATATTGGCCATTCTGACAGGAGTGAGATGATATCTCATTGTGGATTTAATTTGCATTTCTCTGATGATTAGAGATGTCGAGCACCTTTTCATATATCTATTGGCCATCTGTATGTCCTCTTTGGAGAAACATCTATTCAGGTCCTTTTTCCATTTGTTATTGGATTGTTTGTTTTTTTGGTGTTGCGTTGTATGAGTTATTTTATAAATTTTGCATATTAACCCCTTATCAGGTGTATCATTGCCGAATATCTTCCCCCATTCTGTAGGATATCTTTTCATTTTGTTGATGGTTTCCTTTGCTGTGCAAAATGATTTTAGTTTTATGTAGTCCCACTTGTTTATTTTTTCTTTTCTTTCCCTTGTCCAAGAAGATATATCAATAAAGATATTACTAAGGGTAATGTTTGAGAGTTCACTGCCTATGTTTTCTTCTAAGAGTTTTATAATTCTGGGTCTTACATTTAAGTCTTTAATCCATTTTGAGTTTATTCTTGTATATGGAGTAAGAAGGGGGTCAAATTTTTTTGCATGTATCTGTCCAGTTTTCCCAGCACCATTTATTGAATAGAATGAAGTTACCCCAGTGTATATTCTTGCTTCCTTTGTCATAGATTAAATGACCATATAGGCATGGATTTATTTCTGGGCTTGTCTATACTGTTCCATTGATCTGTGGTCTGTTTTTATGCCAATACCATGCTTTATAATAGCCTTGTAATATAGTTTGATATCAAGTAGTGTGATACCTCTAGCTTTGTTCTTCTTTCTCAAGATTGCTGTGGCTTTTCGGGGTCTTTTGTGGTTCTATATAAATTGTGAGATTATTTGTTCTAGATCTGTGAAAAATGCCATTGGTATTTTGATAGGGATTGTATTGAATCTACAGTTTGCTTTGTGTAGTATGGACATTTTAACTCTATTAATTCTTCCTATTTTATTTGTATCTTTAATATGCTTCCATTTATTTGTATCTTTAATTTCTCACTTCAATGTATTATAATTTTCTGAGTACAAGTCTTTTACTTCCTTGGTTAAATTTACTCCTAGTTATTCTTTTTGATGCAATTGTAAATGAAATTGTTTTCTTAATTTCTCTTTCTGATAGTTTGTTATTAGTGTATACAAATGCAACCAATTTCTGAATATTAATTTTGTATCCTGCTGATTCACTGGATTCATTTATCAATTCCAATAGATTATTGGTGGAGTCTTTCAGATTCTCTATATACAGATAATATCATGTAAGCTGCAAGTAATGACAGTTTTACATCTACCTTTCCCATTTGGATTTTTTTTTTGTCTGATTGCTGTGGCTAGGACTTCCAAAACTATGTTGAATAAAAGTGGGTATCCTTGTCTTGATCCTGACCTTCAGGAAAGTGCTTTTAGCTTCTCCCCATTGAGTATGATGTTAGCTGTGGGTTTGTCATTTATGGCCTTTATTCTGTTGAGATATGTTCCCTCTACTTCCACTTCGCTGAATTTTTATCATAAATGGCTGCTGGATTTTGTCAAATGCTTTTTCTGCATCTATTGATATAATCATATGATTTTTATTTTTCATTTTGTTTATGTGGTGTATCACATTGATTGATTTGTAAATATTGAAACCTCAGTAACTTAACAGCCCCACGTGGGAATGGGTTGTTACTCTCTCTTACCTCCCCCTAGTAGGAGAACCCATGAAGATTTGCCATAGAGATCTGCCTACCAGTCTGATCCTATTCCAGAGGCTTGGCTTCCTAAGATTTTGACCCGCAATTCATTCAGCTGCCACCAGATGGGAGGAATGCTGTGTGAAGGAAAACAAAACAAACATTAAAATGGCAAATGTTTACCAGTGGTCAATAATTTAGTAATTGATTCCCAATTTAGGGGATTATTTCTGTTGATGGTGCCCTCTGTCTTCATAGTGCCCATTACCATCTTAGTTACTGACTTAGCAGTATCCTTTTTTAGTGCTGCCTGTTGTCCCAGGATGATTTCTAGTACGTTAGACCCTCTTTGGCTGAGCTAAGAATAAGAAGCCTTCCATCCTCTTACCTTGCCATTGCATCTTCAGTTTCTTATTGCCCCACCCCCGAAGTACTTCAGTGACAGATCTTCTTGCCTTATTTTTCTCCATGCAGTTCTCCTTGCATAATTCGGCCAGGTTAATGTTTGGAAAATGGCCACTTTTCACCTTGTCCTCCAGAAACTTTACTCTCCATTGTCTAAGGATTTAGTCTGGCTTTTAAGGCACCCTATAGTCTGACCCTGTCTTACCTTATCTGTTTAAACTACATAAGGCCTTACATTGGTTTGTGCTATCAACATACCCTATTCATCTTTAGCCTCTAGTTCAAATTCGAACTTCTTTATTCACGCAGTCAAGAAATATGTTTAAATGTGTTACCATGTGCCAAACGCTGTTTTAGGTCCTAAGAATTTCTAATGGAATAAGACAGGCAAAGTCCATATTCTCATGGAATTTACATTTTAGTGGGAGAGTCAGACCTCCCCTTCCCACAAAGCACCCCCAAAATCCCCACCCAGCACTGCCTCCTTCAACCTCAGAATTTTTTTATAAAGTGTGACTCTAGAAACACTGCCTACAATATTATGCATTCTTCCAAACCTGATACATACAAATTGCCCTTCGGGATGATGAGCTCTGGAGCAATGACCCTTATTTTGATGCTCTAGGAGTTACTCAAAACATGTAGAGCACTTTTCTTTAGGAACATCCCCCAGAGCCTGTAGTATATTCACCTACATATCCTCAGCCATCCAGATGTTTAGCCTTCAAAGATGCATTGGATTTTCAAAACCAACCTCAAGTCTCTGGGCCTCATAAACTACCTTAGTGAGAATGTGTGGCAGAGGGAAGGAAACTGGTTTTTTGTCATGGCTCAGAAATGGGCTCTTGAAGGTGTTGCCCAAAGAGAAATCCAGAGACATCATGAACAAGTGACAGCAGCACTCCAGCAAGATCACAGCGTGCCTTGACGATAGCACTCATTTGAAACTATTGGTTCTGGTAGTTTTGCCTGGAGACATTAATTTCAGTATTTAGAGTCACACCCAGTAACTTTTAGTGCCTTATGAATTCTCTGCTTAAATTTTTTAAATCTGGTTTTAGTATTCTCCCAATTAAATAATAAGCCCCTTAAGAGTAAGAAGTTTAACTATGTTTTTTGGTTCGTTTGGGTTTTTTTAAAGATTTTATTGGGGAGTTGGGGGAGGGGAAAAGCACTGGGGAAGGGGTACAGACAAGTTGCTGTCCTTTTGTTCTTCAGTCTAGTTGTAGAGGGCGTAACTTCACTGGCCCACGTTGGTATTATCATTGCACTCTTCCCGGGTGAGGCAGATAGGTTGCCGGCCACTCACGGCGGCTCTTGGCAGCTCACGCTGGCTGCCGGCCACTCACGGTGGCTTATGGCAGCCCACTGCAGCAGGAGCTGTCGCCGGTGACTTGTGCAGCCCAGCTCCAGGTCAAGCTGCTGTTCACCATCTTAGCTGTAGAAGGCAGTGTCACTGGCCCTCATGTGGGATCCGAACCGGGGCCCTGCTGCTCAGAGCTGGCATTCCAAGCCAGCTCTTAACGAACGCACCACTCGGCCGGCCCTGTTTTGTTTTTGTATCAGCCATGGTGCCATATTTGCATTTAGTAGATGATCAATATTAATATGTTGATTGTTTCAGGAGGCAGTAATAAAGGCAGTAAAGCACGAGTTGATACTGTTAGTCTCAACATAGACTGTAATAATTTCCTGACTGTTTATTGGCATTCATTGACTTAAAATATACACTTGCAGCTTTATGTCATTCTCCTTTATGATGATTTTAGAAGTGTAATGGACATTTAAAGTGCAGTACCATTTTGTTTATATTGTATGAGCTCATTTCTTCCCTGGAAGAAGAATAACGAGAAGTTTTCATAATGTAAGTGAGATCTCTCTGCCTTGGTAAGGCAGAAGTTGGTATTCATATGAATTAAGTCATTTGTTTTTGAGTTGTTTTCTTACAACTGTAGAGGTAGGGACCTATTGCATTCCAATATTAGAAGGACCTTGGACTGACTATAGACTATGGAGTACAGTTTCCTGTTTTAGTTTAGAAAGTTGATGAAATGAAAACATTAACGCTATTCTCCATTTTTTTCCAGAACCTCTGTTTCATTTTGCCACAATTTTTGTACCAGTTCTTCTGTGGATTCTCACAACAGGTTTGTTTCTGTAGTTATTCGTTATAAAGTAGTTTACATTTGCTATTAATAATTTACCTTTTTATGTACTGGATTGTAGAGATTAGAGAGGGTATGTCCAAAGTAAAGTAAGAGGACTTGGGTTTTGTTTGTGTTTTTTTGTGTGGTTTTTTTTTTTTGGGGGGTTTTTTGGCTCAATAGTTGATCTTGGCTTGGATTTTGTGTATTTGCTTTAGCAGTGTTCTTTCTTTTGAAAGTTATTTAGTGTATCCATTTGGAGTTAAGATAACCTTTAAAAGGGTATTATGATTTTTTCTTTGTAGCAGTGTATACAGCATTTTCCAATAATCCTAAAATGTTATAGTTTAACATTTCATCAAATAAAATCTCACCCCTTTGCAGTTTCTCAGGTTGACTTTCTAAGAAAACGTTGATCTTTAAGCTGGCCACAAAGCTGTGGTTCCTTTGGATAAAGCCTTGGATTGCTGGAGCAGCTCTACATTTTCTGCCCCCTATTGTCTTCTGAACATTTATTACGTAAAGAGTCTGGTATATGTTAACTTGATATTTAAGTGGTGAGATGAGCAGGCATGTTTGTCCGTTTAACAACTGAAATAGATTTTGCATTGCTTCTACTGAAGGTACAGCTAAATACAGCAGCTATAATGCTTAGTGACTCAGAAATTTTCATAGTTAATCTGTGAGCAATTCAGTGATTTTTGCCAAGCTGAGCTACTGGTGACATCACCACAAGTATTAGAGACTGAGTTTCTAAATTTCAAGGCATGCTTAATTCCTCAAAGTAGGAAGTGATTCTGATTTCTTGGCAATATTTTTAAGGGAACCTCCTCTTCGTGATGGGAAGTGACTGCTCTCTTTTCTCTTAAACTTGTCTCTCTACCCTTTGGTATGCTGTCTCTTACATCATTGCCATGTCATCAGTCACATAGTGTCAATTTAGCAGATCACTTGATGAATTAATCATCTACTAGCTGTAGGAAGTGCCACCAGCCTTCTTGTATTCAAAACTAACATATTAGTTACAGAGTTTCATGAATTCTGATGCGTCTGCCTTTCTTGAACAGTCAGATTACTGTTGATCAACATGTTTCTAATTCCTCACTTAGATGAATGCAAGTATTAAAAAAAGGCTTCAAATTTTGTAGCAAAGTGCTAAAGGGAAGTTGGCTTAATCTAGTTAAAACATTTTTCATTTTGAAAGGAGTCTTTTGCTTTGTTATCCTTTTAAAACATGTTTACCAAGCACAAATCATATGAAGAAAGGAGGCCTTATTCCTAATAAAGCTAGCTGAGAGTCTGAGGTCCGCTTAGGTTACCTTAACTGCTTAGGTTTCCATGGGAGTTGATGTTTGGCTTTCTCAGTTGCTCAACTGGTATGTTCACTCAGTTAACAAATATTTCTTTAGTGCGTACTATGTGCCAGGCTAAGTGCTAGAGATATAACAGTGATCAAAAGTCTTGCCCCCAGGGAGTTTCAGTATAGTGATGGGGGAAAAACAGGCAACAATCAGACAAATACATTGTCGGGCACCGATAAATGCTCTGAGGGGCAGGGGGCAGCATAATAAATGGATCCGAGTGTGTAACTGGGGAAGAGGGCTGCTGTTCAGAAAAGATGATTTGGAATGTTCTCTCTGAGGTGCCGTTGAGACAGAGATATGAAGGAGATGAGGGAAGGAGCTATGCAGACATCTTAGAGGACAAGTGTATCAGGTAAAAGGAAGGTCTCTGAGGTGGTGACATATGATGTACAATAGCTTTAGTTTTGAATCTGGCCTAGAGCTGAATATAGCAACCTTTATTGAAAATATCTTTGGAGTACATACAATTAGCCTTTTTTAAAAAAGATTTTATTGGGGAATTGGGGAAGGGGAACATTATGTTTTTCCAGGACCCACAGCCTTTTTTAACTGAGGTCCACATCCTGTGTTCCCTGCAACCCTGGAACTTGGAGAGTGAGCCATGGAGAATGTAGAAATGGCACCAGGATTCAGATTCTTTAAGCAAAAGGCAGCTCTTTCTTTAGCAAAGCTAGAATAGTGCTGGGGTTTTTTTCTTCATGAAAAGAAAACATTTGTCACAGGTTTAAGAAGAAACAGTGTTATCAACTAAACCTGTTTGTTTTGAAAACATTCTCCTCTATTTATGTATCTAAGAATTACAATTCTCTCTCATCTAACCTCAAAGTACAATAGTGGAACATAAGTAGATCGATGTTTCTTTTGTTTGAATGAAATTCAGGACTAAATTACACACCAGTCAATCTGAGTTATGTTTTCTATTTTCTCATTAGTGAAAATGAGTAGTTTCCAATGAAAATGTAGTATTATGTTGCCGGTTTGAATTAAAAGGAATATAACACTTGGGGGGGTACTTTTTAATTCAGTAGAATATTTTTAATGAATTTGAATCTTTGCGCGGAGTATCTCCAAAGTTCTATGTAGAGCCATATTTCTAACTTCATTGAGAATGTTGCGTGCACATTATCTTGCTTTGTCTGTACTGCAGGCCAGACTTGTCCCTTCTCTGGACTCCCGCAGTTCTTTGTACATTCTTCTTACCCCCTCTAGAATTTTTTTTTTTAGTTTTAATGGGGAACAGCCATGGTCATTGGTAACACATTGCTCTCATGCTACAATGGCATAATTGACTCTTTTCAGGGCAGGCGCAGCTCAGTGGCCCATGTGGGGATTGAACCGGCAACCTTGGTGTTATCAGCACCGCGCTCTAACCAATTAAGCTGAATAGTCACTCTAGAATTTGAGCTCTTTGACAAACAGGTCATGAATCTTCTCTGTCCCCAGTACTTATCACTTAGTAAGCACTCAGTAAATATTTTTGAAGTCAACTAATGAATGAACTAATGCTCTGTTGAAGGTGTTCTCAATCTTTTCAAGTCAACCCCTATTATGATAGTAATTGTGCTTTAGTAGCCATTGTTTGAAAATGCATAATTGTGTTAATGTCACATTTAAACATATTTTATTAAAGAACATTTATATGTGTGAAAATACACATGAATATGGGATATGATTTCTGCAGGCCACAGATAATGGCTGTATGACAACATCTAGCACAGTGTAGATAAATATTGAACTCAATAAGTATTGTCATCAAAATGAGGTTCAGAGGATACCTTAATATTTTTTTCCATAAAGGAAAATTTATAGTATTAGATCAGTCCTTTGCAAATGTGTTATAGCCTCCAATCTCTACTCATTCAATCATCCAGTATTTACTGAATGCTTTTTATATGCCAAGTTCTATTCTAAGAGCTCAAGATTGTCAAAGTCCTCTAGCCAAAGACCACTAGGAACACACACACTTGTAGCTGATCAAATTACGTTTATTCCTCCATGAAACAAGGAAGAATAGACACCATGAGGATCAGTGGGGCCTCTCAGGAAGAGAGTGTTAGAAACGTCTTATAAGAGTTGGGCTTGAGTTAGGTAATTTGGAGAAGGACTTAAGAAGGGGAGCCTTGCTGTAGATTGAGTGCTGTTAGTAAGCAGGGGTCATTTTATGACTGAGCACTTCAGTAAATTTTATCCAGGAGGAATGATGACTAGAAGGAGGCTAACACTGTCATTTGTCAAGAAGCAATAGGCACCCATATTAAATGGGGATGTTGGTCATTTTTGTGATTTGGACAATACTCATACTCTACATTCAGGCATGATTATGGAGTGTTCTTGTTTTTGTTTTGATCCATCATGGTCACAGAATAGCCTTGTTTGATGTTGCAGTTCTGTGAAGTTGTGTACGTTTGACAGGAAAACACCCATGCTAGCTTCTGGATGTCAGGGGCTGCTTTGCTCTTTCTCAATTACAGCTGTCAAAAACTAAATAAATGAAAATCATTGCCCTTATAGAGCTTAAATCATAGTGTGAAGAAACAGTACACATAATAAATTTATAATGTAAGTTAGAAGGTGATTGGTATTGTAGAGGGGGAAAAAACAGTATAAAGGGGGCAAATGTGCCTGGGAGAGAGGGAATGGCAAGTTAAATCAAGGATGGTCTCACTGAGAAGATGACATTTGAGCTGAGATTTAAAGGAAGTGAGGGAGTACTTCGTAAAGGGAAAATGTTCCAGGCACAGGCAACAGCCAGTTCAAAGGAGGTCTTAAGTCAGAGGTGTGCTTGTCATGTTAGAGGTACAGTGAGGAAGCCACTGCTGCTGGCGTAGAATGAGCAAGGAGCAGGAGAGGTTAGAGATGGGGTCAGACAGGTCAGAGAAGCCACATTGAGTGGGGCTTTATAGCCACCCCATTGTAGAAACTTATTTAACTTTTAAAGATAAAGATATTCATTGGAGGGTTTGAAAAAAGTGATGACTTTTTTTTTAAGATTTTTATTGGGGGATTGGGGGGATGGGAACAGTCCTGGGGAATTGGGGGAAGGGGAACAGACAAGTTGCTGTCGTTTTTGTTCTTCAGTCTAGTTATGGAGGACGTTCCTTCACTGGCCCAAGTTGGCACCATCATTGCGCTCTTCCCGGGCGAGGCACATCAGTTGCCGGCTTCTGGACGGCCGCTCACTGCGGCTGCTGGCCGCTCATGCTGGCTGCTGGCTACATACGGTAGCCCATGGCAACCCACTGCCACAGGGGCTGCAGACTATACCGTCACCGGCGACCCACGGCAGCCCAGCTCCAGGTTGAGCTGTCGTTCAGCATCTTAGCTGTGGAGAGCAGTGTCACTGGCCCTCACATGTGGGATCCGAACCAGGGCCCTCTGACATCCCAAGCCATTTCTTAACCATGGCGCCACTTGGCCGGCCCGTGATGACTTTTGATTTGACTTGTTTTCTAAGAGTACTACTCGGGCCATTGTGTTGAGAATAGACTTTAGATCAAAGGGAGAAACAGGGAGATGATTTGGAGGCTTGCAGGGTGGTATCAGTGGAGGTGTTGAGAAGTGATCTGGTTCTGAATATATTTTAAGACAGTGCCAGTAAACACTACTTAATTGATTGGATATGGGGTGTGAAAAAGAAGGGTCAAGAATCGAAGATTTTGGTTCTTGTTGATAAGAAAGATTTAATTGCCCTTTCCTGAGGTGGCAAAGACTTTAAGAGGAGTAGGTTTGAGGTGAGGGCAGGTCAGGAGTCCACTTCTGGACATAAGTTTGAAACATGCTAGACACTCAAGAAGAGATGTCAAATGAGTATTTGGATATATGGGGACAGGTCTGGTCTAGAGATAAATTTGGGGGAATTTTCAGTGAATGGCAAGTATTAAAATGACAGGACTGAATGAGATCACCTAGAGAGTGAGTATAAATAAAGTTCCAAACACCGAGCTCTGGAACCCTCCAACCGAAGACTCAGGGAAAACAGACTGAAGGAATAGCTAGTGAGGTAAGAAGAGAATCCCCATTTTTAAATACTTCTTTGAGGACCTAAGTGGTACCAGGCACCAAGGTAGATGTTAGGATCACCAACATTGTGGGGCCACTCACTGCAGCAGGAAACACAGGAGAAAGCAGAAGTAAGGGGAAAGTTAATGAGTTTGGTTTTAGACATTTTGAGTTGCAGGGGCCTATGGGACAGCCAGCAGACAGTTGGAAATTTTGGCCTAGAGCCTAGGAAATTCAGGACCAGAAAGAGTTGTAAGTCATGCCCATGTACATATATTGAGCTTTGTTTTTGTGAATACATTTATTGAATCCTTAGTAAATGGGCACATTTAGTATCATAAATATATGCTGGAGGAGGTGACAGTGATATTTAAAGCCATGTAAAATATTAAGCAAATAAAACCATGAGACAGGCTGGCCACTGCCTATATTTAGTTTCCCTAAGGGGTTTCTGACACTTGTTTGTTCTTTGTTAGCTGAAAAATCTTTTGAAAAGTTTTTGGGTTGTCAGAAGTCATGACGCACTTGTGCAACAAAAAACAGAAAAAATACGTCATGACATTTCTGACAACCCAATATTAGTTTATATCTGTTAAAAATAGAGCTTATACCGTGTAAACATTCTGAATAAAATCGTATTCAAAGGGGGGAGGGCCTATTAATATGATGCTCTACAATATGTTAGCTGCTTTTCTATAGTTACCCATCAGTGACCTTTTTTACAATACTTCCTTTGCTATTACAAAAAGTGTGAAAAGAAACTCTTGTTTTAGCTTGTTCTTTCTTCAAATACATAAATATCCTCTCACACATGATTGTTACATACATTTCTTCCATTGTTTGTCATTTCAGCCACTGTATGATGCCGCTTACCTCACAATGTACAACATCTGCTTCACGTCCTTGCCCATACTGGCATACAGTCTACTGGAACAGCATATCAACATTGACACTCTGACCTCAGATCCCCGATTGTATATGTAAGTTGAACATTACAGGTACAGCCCCCTCACATTTTCAAAGATGTGGGTTTCTTTTCATCTGCAGGTGCAAAACAACAGAACTGCCTACCTGGTTTGATCACATGGTCCTGTTCTCAGTTTTTACCTACTTAAACCAGACCATTCAACAGGAAAATGACATATTTCCTAGGCGTAGATCCTGTACTTGAATGGTTATGAATAATTTACCATATTTTGCAGTGTATAATGCGCTCCTATGTATAATGCGCAACCACGTTTTTGGCCCAAACTTTCAGGGAAAAAAATCATTTTAATTTTTTAATTCAAATTTTTATTTGTTTACATTTAGGTACGTGTTTTTTATATTATAAAGGAATTTTAGCATTTATTTTTTAACATATTATGGTACAAGAAATTTTATGTAGGGCTGGCCGAAGTGGTGCACTGATTAGGAGTTGGCTTGGGACGCCAGCTCTGAGCAGCAGGGCTCTGGTTTGGATCCCACATGTAGGACCAGTGACACTGCGCCCTCTACAGCTAAGATGGTGAACAACAGCTCAACCTGGAGCTGGGCTGCTGTGAGTCTCCAGCGACTGAGTAGACTGCAGTGGGGGCTGGCCGGCAGCTGGCGTGCATTTCCGTGAGCTGCCATCCAATGGCTAGGGAGCAACTGCCTTAACCGGGAAGAGCGCAATGATCACAATACCAACATGGGCCAGTGAAGCGACATCCTCCACAACTAGACTGAAAAACAAAAAGACAGCAACTTGTCTGTTCCCCTTCCCCGATTCCCCAACACTGTTCCCCTCCCCCAATTCCCCAATAAAAATCTTTAAAAAAAAATAGAAAGTTTATGTAACAAATAAATATGAAACGCAAGAACAGATATGAGGTACAAGAAATTTTATGTACTTGTAACAAATTTATGATATTTACACGTCATAGAAGGCCAAGAACTCTTCATTGTTGCAAGTTTGTCGTAGGTTCAACAAAACCAATTATTGTATTCCAGGGTATTATTTTGCATACAGATATTCATTATTGGTTTCTAGAGTTACACTTTTAACTGATAAGCATGAATAAAAGAATTAAAATCATTTATATAGATAGGGAATTAGTACTACCATGTGTAATATGCATCTTTATTTTCTCCTCACAAACTTGGGCAGAAAATGCGCATTATACATGGCAAAATACGGTAGTTCAAAATCATGTTAATTTACAGCAGATTATAAGCACTGCTAAATAGTGCATAGCAAATCTGTAGAGAGATTTGGATGGTTTATTTGTATGAAATGAAGGAGCACAAATTGAAGGATTTCTTTAACCAGAATGAGTTATAAAACTCACACTTAAGTAATTATTTGATTTAACTAGTTATAAAATATATCATCATTATTTTAAAGGTATTTATTATGGAAATTTTCAAACGCATAGAAGGAGCAAAACTTTTTTAAAGATTTTCTATTTTTTTGGCATTAACTTTTTAAAAGATTTTATTCTTCAATTACAATTGATATACAGTATTATATTAGTTTCAGGTGTACAGCATAGTGATTAGACATTTATATAACTTACAAAGTGATTACCCCGATAAATCTAGTACCTATCTGACACCATACACAGTTACTACAATATTATTGGCTATATTCCTTATGCTGTATGGTACATCCCCATAACTACTTTGTAACAACCAATATGAACTTCTTAATCTCTTCCCTTTTTTTCACAAAAATCTGGCAACCATCAAAATGTTCTCTGTATCTCTGAGTTTATTTGTTTTGTTCGTTAGATTCCACATATAAGCAAAATCACATTGCATCTGTCTTTCTCTGTCTGACATACTGCATTCAGCAGAATACCCTCCAGGTCCATCCATGCTGCTGCAGATGGCAAGAACCCATTCCCTTCCCTGGCTGAGCAATATTCCATTGTATATATGTACCACCTCCTCTTTATCTATTCTTCCATCAACAGACGCCCAGGCTGCCTCCACATCCTGGCCATTGTAAACAATGCTGCAGTGAACATAAGGATGTACATGTCCCCTTGAAGTAACGTTTTGGGTTTCTTCAGATAAATACCCAGAAGTGGGATTACTGGTTCCTTCTTTCTCTCTTGTTATAGCCTTTGTTTCAAAGTCTATTTTGTCTGGTGTAAGTATTGCTATCCCAGTTTTTTTGTTTTTGTTTTTTGTGTTGTTTTCATTTTCATAAAATGCCTTTTTCCATCTTTTTACTTTTTTTGTTTAAGATTTTATTGGGGAATTGGGGAAGGGGACCAGCCAAGTTGTTGTTCTTCAGTCTTTGTTCTGGAAGGCGCCAGTTGCCATCTGGCTGCCCGTTGGCATCTCGTGGCCTGTAAGCTCAAGGTGCTGTGTCCAATCTTAGTTGTGGGTGGGCATAGCCACCATCCCACATGGGAGTCAAACCACACACTCTATCCGCTGAGCCATCTGGGTGGCAGCTCAGCCCAAGGTGCTGAGGTCAGTATTAGTTGCGGGTGGGCATAGCCCACCATCGAACAGGCAGTCTTGTTGTTACACCGGCTGAGCCATCTTGCCACCTGTTGGCAGCTCAGTGGCAGCTCAGCTCGGGCACAGTGTCACTGGCCCATGTGGGAATCGAACTGGCGGCCCTGCTGCTCAGAGCTCGTGCTCTTAAGCCAGCTCTTAACCAACTGAGCCACTCGGCCAGCCTGCCGTCTCTTTACTTTCAGTCTGAAGTTAGTCTCTTGTAGGAACCCCCCAGTATTCAATACCAACTGAACAAGGATAGCTGCATTTACACTACAAAGGTGTTTCTTATTCCATACAGCACAGTGACATTCTTGGAAGTATTAACAACCGGTGTACTATTTGAGAGACTAGATACCTTTTGATAAATGTTAAGAGTATTTTGAAATAGAGGCCAAAATAATTCTATGACCAAATCCATTTCCTTTCTGCAGCTCTACTCCATTAGAATCAGTAGCTTTATTTAGCATTCTGACTTGTATTGAGAAGATTGTGCTATTTTTGACAGATTTTAAACTTGATCTGTCCACCTGCCATTTGTTAAAGCATGACTGTATAGTTTGAAACATGTTATTTGACTCAACAGAATAAATACAAAGGGCACCTTATGACCTAAAAAAGGTTCAATTCCCAGGAAGAAATCTTGATTAAAAGAACTATTTTAACAATTGTAGTTGGAAAGCTGAGGTAGCTTGGTTGAGAGCATATGATTTGAAGTTAAATAAATCTGGGATTATGTACTAGCTCTATCCCTTACTAAATGAGTGAACTCTGGCATGCTGCTACACTAGTGGTTCCCAAACTCCACTGCACAGTAGAATCACCTGGGGAGCTTTCAAAATACCCTGATGCCCAGGTTATGCCTCATGCCAATTAAAACAGAATGAGGTTGGAAGCGAGGCATCAGTGTTTTGAAATATCCCTAGGTGACTCCAATGTGCACCAAAGTTTGGGAACCATTATGATACACCTTTCTGAGGCTCCTTATTACTTGTAGATGGGAGTGATAAGAATACCTAGCTGATGTGGTTTTTATGTGGATAAAAATGGAAAAAATACATAAAACTCTTAACCCAGTTTCCTGACATATAATAAGTACTCAATGAATGGGATCTAATTATTATTGATGATGTTATTGTTGTCAGATGTCCGGAATTTTAACTTAGAAGTGCTTGGACAGTTAACTCCAGTGCATCAGTCAGGAGGTGATTGCACAAAGATAAACCTGCAACTCAGTCTGGCCTTTTACCAAGAAACAAAAGCCTTCCAGTCCCTCAGGGAGATAGCTCCCTTCATTATAACAAGGTCACTTTTGGTATTTCACCACATCTTTAAATAAACAGCCTACAGAGATTCATTAACCTGGGTTTTTTCTCATTTCTCAATAGGAAAATATCGGACAATGCCATGTTACAATTGGGCTCCTTCTTATATTGGACATTGCTGGCTGCATTTGAAGGGACAGTGTTCTTCTTTGGGACTTACTTTCTTTTTCAGACTTCATCCCTAGAAGAAAATGCAAAGGTAAAAAACAAATTGTCATTACGTCTTTTGGTATTATAAGCATGGCTTATCTTTTTCCATAGGCACTGGATCTGTCATAGACATACTCTAGCTGTATTTTTTTTTTCAGGGGCGGGGGAACAGACATGGTCATTGGTTACACGTTGCTTTCATGCTACAGTGGCATAATTGACTTTTAGGGAGGGCACAGCTCACAGTGGATCATGCAGGGATCGAACCGGCAACCTTGGTGTTATCAGCATGACACTAACCAACTGAGCTAACCGCTCACCCATTAGCTGTATTCTTTTTGCAAACTTTTAAGGTACAGTGTTTAGTCCTCACAGCTTCTTTAAACAATAAAAGTGTTGAAGTAAGAAATCACTTCCTGTGTGCATGGCTAACTAGAGAGCTTATGTACAGACCTCCTGGAAGCTAAAATTGGCTGTAATTTTTATTGGATGAACAGAGCTCTTGGGACTTCAGTCTTTGGACCCCTACACTTTGATGTGAGCAAGCAAAGCCTGGCCCCACTCAGTTCTTATTCTTAGTGGCCTTCCATGCTTAGAGTTCAAGGGGTAACTTCCGTATCTTTGGAATTCCCTTGTCTTCCTCCCTCCCTTCCACAGGATAGCATAGTGTTTTGCAGAAAGGCTACACTAGTGCCCTCCCAGCCAGAACCTACATAGGTCAGCACCAGCATTGGGATGATTTTGCCCTGGCCGGACTGTCAGAGAGCATTGCTGATGGGGTGAGGTCTTTCCAAACCCACACAGTGGGACATCAAACCCCCTACCTTGTGTGCTATTTTCACTATGTCCTCTGCTACTTCTGGGCTTCCCCTTTTATGGTCACTCATTTACTCATAATGTGAAGCAAAGCTAAGGTTCAAAAAGAACTTACTGAGTACAGCGACTGTGTCTAGAACGTAGACAGTCAACATCAGTTACAAACGTGATAGGCTTGTTGGATTTGAATGATACTTTGAAATTAGGTACTACAGTCAAAACCTCTCTAATTTAGACTGACAGAAGTCAGTTTAGTATGAATCCATTAAAATTGTTGATCACCGAGTAACTTGTGAGGAAATACAGATCTATTGTAATACCACCATGGCGCTTGCTAAGATGTGTGCCCTTCTACGTCTCTCTGGGTGTCCTCGGGCCAGTCACTTCAGCTTTCCAAGTCAACTTTGCTCATCAGTAAAAAGAAGGGATCGGATTTTATGAGTTTCAGATGCCTTCAGCTTTATGACTGAATCTGGGACTTTCTATTTTATTTTTATTTGGCACATAAATTATATAGAGCTGACTCATGGTTTAAAAAAATCTTTGCTGCAAAATAGGCGGATACTCTTCTGCAGTCCTGTTGACATGGTTCATTTGCTCAGCAAATTCTTCAGGTGGGGCATGGGGAGCTTCAGGCCAGCCTGTGTCCAGTTCATCACCCATTTTGAGTTCCTGAAGTCCAGATTAATTATATGTTATTGTATATGTCACCATCCTAAATGTTTGCTAAAATTACAATTAAGTATGACGACTGCTATCTATCAGCAACTAAACATAACGCTCATGTATGATTTGATCAAATTCTTTTTTTTGCTTCTATTAACCTTAATTTTTTGTTTTTATTTTTTGAAAACCTTTTACATTTCATTTTCTGTTTTAACGTTATGCATTCAGATCTTGACAGCATTTGGTAAGCATATGTGCCATTCATTGCCATCATTTGGATTTATACATGGTATCTGCTTTTCTTCGATGTGCACACACTGACAGTTCTAATATTTACAGTAAAAAATTAGACTCTGTTTTAAAAATGTGAGTCCATTTGCCTGCAAATTAATTCTTATTTCAGAGCTTTAGTTTTATATTGTAGGAAAAGCCCATATCAATCTCTTCAGAGATGTGAGTCATCCAATGATTTGTTTCGATGCACTTTACTGTTTGTGGAACAGGGTTTTTTTTTTTCTATCTTTATCATGCTGGTGTTTTCCCTGTTTGATGCTGCATGGAATAATGGAAATAAATTCTACCAACCACAAATGTAGTGTACCTAACCAAGAAAATTTACAGTCACAGTAAAAGCCAGCTTTTGGGCCAGCTATTTCCCTAAATAATTCAGAGAGAAATCTTTAGCAGTTACATACAAGGTTAAACTTGGGTTTTTGTTTCTTTTAAGCAGGCTTGTGTATTCTTGGTACATGTAATTGTTAAATGTTTTTCAGGTGTTTGGAAACTGGACTTTTGGAACCATTGTTTTTACAGTCTTAGTTTTCACTGTAACTCTGAAGGTCAGATTTTTATTTATTCAAATATATTTAACACCCTTTTGTAGTAGTTTCTCGTCTTAATCTTTCTTTTTATTTCAGGCTGTTATCCAAGTCTGAATGCTTACTAAGATATGTATGATATTAGAGATTTGGGCATTTGTATACCATTTGTGATTCACTTTTTACTGTATATTGTCTGTTCTCTATAAAGTTATATATTGGTTTAAGAATGCCAGGCCTTAAAGGAATTTGGGTACTTAAGACAGTTGAATAGGTGTCCATAAGCAAAATATGTATGTAAAAGAGCTTGGTAATGTTGAAATTTTATATATTGTATTCATCACTGAAATGTACTTATATTACTAATGAAATGCATAAAAATATACAGCAGATAATATACAAGAAGGGAAGTTTGGGCAGAATCACTGGCAGCCATATAATAATGGCTCTGAAGCCATGATGAATACTACCGTTCATTTTCATGAGTTCGGACTCTTCTTACAGTTGGAAACATAATCAAATTCTTTTCATCATTCCAGAAATAAACACCTCACATGGGGTCCAAGAATGAGTACCTTCCAGTGAATTCCAGTTTGCTTAGTCTAGTCGAATTCAGAAGTATAATTGACAATAGACTTCTAATCATTTCCCCTCTAAAATTTTATTCCTGGTTAATTTTTTATATCAAATAGAACTAACATATGTTTGCATCTACTATTTCAGTAATATTTTAGGACTACAGAAAACGTTACCACTCATCTCACTTTAGCTACTTACTAGCAGGGTGTCCTTGGGCAAGTGACTTCATTTCTCAGTACCTCCATTTCCTCTTGGCTAAAACGGAGATAAAACTAGCACCTACCTCTCTTAGGTTTTCCTGTGAGAAGTCAATCAGTGATACATATAAAGTACTTAGAATGGAGTCTGGCACATAGAATGTACTCAGTACAATAAATGCTAGTTGACATTATTATGTTTCAAAGGATCATGGTTTGAAATGGAAGCCTCCACCCCTTTTTTCCCCTGGCCTTGTGTGTGGCCCCAGGGCTTCCAGGTGTCCTTCATAGTTAAAGTTGGCCTCACTGCAGCATCTTTCACATGTCCCTCAAAAGACATCCACTCCCTCTTCTTTGGATGGGTGTTATTGTGACATTTTCCCTAGCAGCCCAGGGTGGGAATCCGATACTGGGCTACATTAACAATGTTATCAACCTCCTGTTTATGAGTGAGAAACTGTAACGGAGAGATGAGGCCCACGTATCACAGCAAGTAACAAAAGTGAGATAACCACCTCCTCTTCAGTCACTAAATGCCCTGGATATTATTAGTCTCTGAGGCCCAGAAATTTTAAACAAGCAAAACAGACCATAACTTTTTGTGTTTAGATTGCATTTGAAAATTCCAGGTTCCACGATCTGAAGAAGCATTCAGCTCCGACAGGAACATGAAGGGATTAATATCTAAGGCAACTGAAAATGTTATTAATGTAATTGAATAGATATGGGTTTTGAAATTGAAAGGCACACTACATAGTCAGACCCATGAATTATTGCTACATGACGCAGGTATATAGAGCTAGTGTCCTTGGCATTTTGTAATCCCCATCTGTTGTGCTAGCGATACCATGACTCTTTTATATAGTTTGTTATCCTTTCTAGCTACCCGGGTCTTGCCTCTCCTACTGCTTTTCATTATACCTGCCTCTACGAGCTAGGTCTTCTCCGTGGCTGCCACTACCTGTAGCCTTGGGCCTCCAGATTCCTGGATGTTACCATTATCTCATTCTTTGCCCTTTCTTCAATAGTGAGACATCTGTAGCCCCATACCTACTGACTGCTTGCTTAACCACATCTCCATACCTGTGCTCTAGATAGTCTAGAGACCTTAGGGCAGAGTTCATCTCTTTCAAACCCTAGCTCTTTGAAAAGCTTGGATTCTGTTCTACCTTTAGTTCCATTCTTTCCTGGAAGCCTGGCCCAAGCTAGATCCTCCCATAGGTATCATATTGTGTACAAGTTATCAAATACCATAGTGTACTATTGCCAGGTGCAAATTGTACCCATCATAAAATCTCTCATGTTCTATCTTTTCAGCTTGCATTGGATACTCGTTACTGGACGTGGATAAATCACTTTGTGATTTGGGGTTCTTTAGCCTTTTATGTGTTTTTCTCATTCTTCTGGGGAGGAATCATTTGGTAAGCAGCTGTATATGTGTGAGTTTTATGTAAATAATAGAATAGGTATGTGTATATACACATTGTATATGCAAGTGTTAATTATATACTTTTAAAGTTTTGATTATATAAGATGGCAGATCTTCGGTATTAATGGACCAGAAGTTACTTCTAGTCAATAACGTGACTAATTTCAAGTAAGAAATCAAATACAAGTAAATAGACTGCACAGGTTACTCAAAAGACCTCCTTTCTGGTATCCCCTGTCTAAATCTCTCAACATGAAAATGTGTAAATATCTCTATGAAGTAAAACCGTTAATTTCTAGCATGACCTCCCATGCGATTTCTAGTAGAAATATTCATCCTGTAAAGCTTCTACACAATGTAGTGGCTAATAGATGCATTATTATCTACTTGGACCCTGTTCTCCTTATGGTATGTAACTGTCATTCATGTCACTACAGATGTGCTTATGGTATAGAATATATACCACTTAATACTCAGTTATGTCTTGAAATCACTTCATTGTGTTTGAGGGTAAAGGCAGAATCTACAGCTTGGTCTTAAAGTTCATTCAGTTCATTTTGGTTTAATAAATGTATATTCAGAATCCATTTTGTGCAAGGTACTCTGGGATGCAGAGACGAATAGACTGTGTCCCTGCCTCCAGTAGATTAGGGTCCATTGAGAGACACATAGCTGTGATTGCGTGAGTTATAAGGAATGAAATTAAGTTCAATTTTCATCTGCTTTCCTTACTCTTAGAGGCCTGTACAGTTGACTTTTGAACAACATGGGGTTAGGGACGCCAACCCTGTTACATAGTTGAAAATCCACATACGGCCTTTTGACTCACAAAAACTTAAAATTACAGTCATCCCTTGGTATCCTCTGGGGGATTGGTTCCAGGACCCCTTCAGATACCAAAATCCACAGATGTTCAAATCGCTTATATGAAATGGCATGAAACAATGCATATGGTTGGCCTTCTGCATTCAGGGATTTCCAACTGCAGATCAAAAATAATGTTTTCCATCTGCAGTTAGTTGACTCTATGTATGTGAAACCAAGGAAATGGAGGGCCAACATATTTACCTGTGTTGTTCAAGGGTCAACTGTATTTTCTTTTTTTTTTAAGATTTTTATTGGGGAATTGGGGGATGGGAACAGCGCTGGGGAATTGGGGGAAGGGGAACAGACAAGCTGCTGTCCTTTTGTTCTTCAGTCTAGTTGTGGAGGACATTGCTTCACTGGCCCATGTTGGTATTATCATTGCGCTCTTCCCAGGTGAGGCAGATCAGTCGCCGACTTCTGGACAGCCGCTCACTGCGGCTGCTGGCCACACATGGTAGCCCGTGGCAACCCACTGCAGCAGGGGCTGCAGCCTACACCGTTGCTGGCGACTCACGGCAGCCCAATTCCAGGTTGAGCTGTTGTTCAGCATCTTAGCTGTAGAGGACAGTGTCACTGGCCCTCATATGTGGGATCTGAACCGGGCCCTCTGGCGTCCCAAGCCAGCTCTTAACCAATGCGCCACTCGGCCGGCCCTGTATTTTCTTTTTAAATATCACAGCTGTTTTCATTAATCAATGGCTTCCCCTGTCAAGGATGCCAACAGCAGAGAGCATGACTAGAGTAAGCCATAAGGTGAGATTCCAGGAGTATACATTTTTACTGGTTTGAGCAAATTCATACATAGAAAATATTCCATGTTATCGCAGAGATGTGAGGACCCTTTATATGTCCCTTGAGACTTAATTAGAAGAACCTCTTACTGTTTTGAAAAGCTTTTTTAAATAAAAGCATTAAGAAGTAAAAATATGAAAAATCTAATCATGGACAGAACTACCGTTCCAAAAAGTGTAATTACAGCATTTATTTGGCACCTATATAGATAATTATTGAAGCAGTGAGGTTGAAGGAAGTCTGTTTTCTTTAATAATATACAAATGTATCAACATTGATTAACCAAATGAAATACGCAATTGTAGATCTGCCACAGTATCCTAATTCTGTCTAATAAGCATCTGAACTAATTATGCAAATTTTCCACAAGAATAAAATGTCTCTAGCAAACTAAAAAAGTTTCTAACTCTTATCATAGACTATTCTTTATCGATTTCAGTAAATCCTTTAAGTGATTAAGACTTCATCATAACTGTTTCGATTCATTAGAGCTACTTAACTAAAAATGAAATATTAATCTTTTATTTTGTTGCCTGTAGTGCTGTCTTTAAGTAAAACTTTCTGAGTTGAGCTACTACATGAATATAAAATTTGTATTATAAAGCAACCAGCAGAATGTGACCAGAAACTGTGAAATTTCAGCTGAATGCTGGTTGCAGCTCATATCTCTAGAAATGTTCAACCCTGAGGCATTGTAACACAGTCCTCTTTGGGAGTGGGCAGTGAGAATGATTTCTGAGTCCCAAACCCAATCCAGGAATAATAAATAGCTTCTTTTTTTTACTGCTCCCTTGCAAACCTCCATAGATGTCACCGAGGTAAAAAAAAAAAAAAAGAAAGAAAGAAAGAAAAGAAAAGAAATATCTAGAGATACAAATCACAGAGTATTGTGAATACTGTGCTAAGGAATACCCCATGACCAGCTGCCAGTTGTCTGCTGGACCCTTATTATGGCTGTTAACTGCCTAGAAAATTAGTCAGGGTGCTCTGCAAAACTAGAGTGGGGATAGAGCTCTGCAGAAATCTTTTCTGTATGGTGGGGGCCCTAGAAAGCCTGTTTAGCCCAGACCTCATAAGTAACATCAATTTTTAAATGAGAAACCAGTTTATCTTCAGTGAGCACTATGCATGATCTACTAAATGGGACCAACCAGTTACCTACCTAGGGCTCCTAATCCAAGGATAGTCTATAGGCACCCTGACCTTGAGCAGCCACTCTGTGGTTCAGCTCAGACAGGGCAAGGGAACATGGCTGTGCTTCTCATAGCCACCTAACAGTTCAGTAGATGACTGGGAAGGAAATACAACATCAGGATGACGGTCTTCCTGGATTTCTGGACTCCAAGGCTTAATATCATCTTAGCAATATCCTGCTGTCTGTTGGCCTATTTGGCACACACTGGTACTCAGTATACCAGGCCGGGGGTGCCAAAAAAATGTATATAAGTGGATACTTTGGTCAATGCGTGTGCATTTTTTGGGCACCCTCTGTATATTTGTGGGTGACAATGGTAGATTCCTCCCATTTGAGAGAGAGAACCTCTACAGTCCTTTTTGTATTTATATAGGGGTGCTTGGGGAGTGTTATAAAAATGTCTTTTAAATTTTGAATATGGAGCACAAATTGCTCTCATATTAATAAAACAGCCGAGGAAATAAAATGCTAGTTAGCATAAAAATTAACCATCATTTTCCTTGCATATCTTTGAAGCTCCAGCATTTTCTAATGCAAACAAATACTCTCTAGTTGGCAGCTTTAAAGATGACTGCTTGTTTTTAAGTCAAATGAATTTTATTATCTTTTTTTCTGTTTTGATTATCATTTCATTTCTTTCCAAACATTTGATAAATGAAATCTGTTTACTACTTCTGAAAATTTTTTTAAATTATTTTTATTAATGTGAGTAAGGAAAATTTCTTTTAAACACAAAAGACAGTTTAAATTACATTCAGTTACATATGACAAAAACTGATTTGTTTTTCCATTTGTATTTTCTTTCCCCTAGGCCCTTCCTCAAACAACAGAGAATGTATTTTGTATTTGCTCATATGCTGTCTTCTGTATCCACCTGGTTGGCCATAGTTCTTCTAATATTCATCAGCCTTTTCCCTGAGATTCTCCTGATAGTACTAAGGAATGTAAACCGTAGAAGTGCCAGGGTAAGAACTAAGTTTATATTGTTATATGATTTTTGGAAGGGGTTTCAATATCTGCCGTGAACTAAATATCTTCTTTAGAGAATTGCATTAGTTACAGCATGTTAAACCCCTCCTTACAGGTTCATCACTTAATTTCCTCTTCTGCATAAAAAGTATAGTAAATACTTCGTTATCCAATGCAGGTGGTAAGTAGATTACTTAATAGTGTTCTATGTGAACTTGAGCAGTCCATATGGAGTATCTCATATGCTCCATATGGAATTTTAAATGGAAAAAATGTTTTTCTTTAGCCTAGAATTTTCATACCAGGAATTTGCACTCCACACCAACATTCCAACTTTAACCTTAGACATTTCTCTACAAGTTGTTTGCATATTTTTTTTCAGTTGATAATCCCGATTTTTCTCTTTCAAACCTTTCCCCTTCCTTTAATTATAGTGCTGCTTAATCTCTGTGTTGCTTCTAGCCCTGTCTGTCTAGCAGTATAATTGAACCAAAGAAAAGTGTCTGGATGTAGTTTCTGCATCCTTACCCTCCTGAACACACTTGTAAAAATTCAGTATTGTTTTATAAGTGTGTTTTTATTTTTGCTGCTTACATTGTAAATTTCTTGCGGGAATGAGAAATTATTACCCTCTGTCAGCCTATTCAGCCTAATTGCTTGGCCCTGCATTGTCTGATATCTTTTGAACATTTCTTAAAAAGCCTTTAAAATGAAAGGGGTAGATTAGCCTGGAAAATAAAGCTTCTGGCAAATTTTGACCAACAGGTTAATTGAATATGTCATATTCTTCATGCCAACACTAGCTCATTTTGCCAAAGAAAGCCCTGTTTCTATCATATTGACACCAACTAGATCTTGTGACCACTCTAAGGCAGTATTTTCAGGAAATAATCTAAGCTATGTCTACCTGACCTATTTGATCAAATTTTCCCACCAATTTAGCCACAAAACTGGTTTATCTGATTTGTAAGGGGCCTGTTGAATTGATAGAATCCAGTGGCTGTCATCATGCAGACATAGGGAACTAAAATGATTATGGTGGGACTATCTTCAGTGATTAGATGTATAAAGAGTAGCTTCATTGATACAAGTCAGTATCAGCCCCAGTCGAAAGCAGTAGACTATCAGTGGCATAAGCTACATTGATTCTTGCCATACAAGGCCAGTCAGTGTACAGTTAGGGGGTCAGAACTGGTCTTAACTCCCTGCTTCTGAGCCTTATAGGTAGAACTGCACACAATAATGTTAACGTAGCTAAGACTGCCTTAGTCTACTCTTTAATCCTTCTAGTAGACCCCCAACTAACTCCCTCTACTCTGGTGTTTAGTCTTAGGATGGGAAAGTGACATTCTCTTGTCTGATTATACCTTAATATCAGTTGAACAGGTAAAACAGATCCATAAAACCAGTTCCTCCCAGAAGGGTTCAAGTGGCAATTTGCCTGAAGCCAAATAAACAAAAACCGTCATAGTAAGAAGTGGTTTGGCACCTTGTTATAATAAAGAATTTGTCTGGGAAGGATCTCTGAAGTACTCATCCATTGTCCCTATTTGGGTGTACACTTTGGAGTGCTCCTAAATGTTTGTCTTCGCTGGGGTAATGGCGCTTATACTAAATAATGGCTCACACCCAGCTTCAGGTTCTCAAGATGATACAAAAATCTCAGAAATCAAAACCTTCAAACATATTGTCTTATCCTCTTCTTTAGGCCCTATTTTTTAAAAAGTTAGATAATGGCTAGAAGTGACTTTTATATCACTTAAATGGCCATTAAATATTTTAAATGTATTAAATGTTTTAAATAAATTAAATGGAGGGATGCTACAAAGCAGTTATAGATAAAGACTTAGAAGAGCATTTTCTTTCCCTGCAAACAGCAGATTCCTAACCTCTGTTGAAAGCATGGAGTTCTCAGACTGCAGCCCTTTTTACATAGCAGCCATAGAATGTTGCCAAGGGTTCAGCATGAAATTTGTTTGCCACGGGTTGTGTACATGATAGGAGCAATTCTAGTAGCTTGGCATGCTGATGTGCTAGAACAACCAGGAGAATTTCCATCATCACCTTCATCCATTCAGTCATTCATTCATTAATTCCTGCCCTCAGTGAACCAGTGAACATGTTGAACCGCCTAATGATGAACATCTCTCTTTATATCCAATGTCTGAAAGGCCAAATGGTTTTTCAGACTCCATGGGATTTTGAGAGTTGCAGATGAGACAACACATTGTGGCCACTCAGCAGTGCTGCCACTTTTTTTTTCCTTGTGAGAAAACGCAAGAGCAAAGTAGTACCTATGAATGCATAAAGGCCACCTACAACATGACAGCCACAGCTATTCTGATAAGTCACATCTGTTTACATAAGGCCCTACTGGGCTGTATCAGAGAGGCGGAGCCCACTTCTAAGATAAAGGAAAGGGAGGGATACAGAACAAAGTAGGAAGTCACCCTGTATGTCAGACTTGGTCATCAAGAATATCTTGATATTCCTTTTCCATTGTAAACCACCACAATCAAAAGGAAGGTTTGACTTTGCCTGCTAGACATGGGAACACTGTAATCTAATGGGAATGGACCCAACAACATGGCGGTGCCTAGCATGGGATGTCTGCACAAATCAGGAGAAATATGCCATTATATAGGGAGCTCTTTCAGAGTGGAAGATAGGAAAAGGAAGAATGTCAGCTGTCTGAGCAAACTTCCCAGAGAAAGCATTGGAAATTTTGGAAAATACAGTTTATCCTTATAATAACAATGGTGACAATTATGATTACTATTGCAATGCTGACAGTGTTGTGTGACAACTGTGGATTGTAAGGATAATAGCCCTGTGGACTGGATTAGACAAAAATAAAACTGAATCCTAATGTTATGGCTGTTGAGATGGACCTTTATGCATTGGCCTCTTTGACTGACTGCCAACTGAGCCAGTGTCAAAGCTCTGTAGATGACCGCAAAGGAATGTGGAAATTTCATATTGCTTTAGCTCATTATCTCCCATCCTTCTTTCCTGTCTCCCCTACCAATTGCTAGCTGTATCAATTTTTGATTGCTTTAGATGCTTTTTCCATGCTCAAAACTGCCTTCTGTACTTTCATATTTCCTTTTTTTTCCTTTATAAAGTATCCTAATCTATAAGCTCCTAAAATTTATGCTTCATAAAAATACTTTTATCTGACGGTTGTGTACAAGGTTTTAAGCACACAAAAATGTGCTTATCCAATCTTAAATAGATAGGCTTGTATATTCAGCACTGCGGTGAGGGACTTGGTATTATGTTAATCTCGTAAAGTTTTGACCCAGTAAATAGAAGACAGAGCAATTATAAATTTTTTTTCATAAAGTAAACATTTCTTTAGCTTTATAGTATATTTGTAAGTTGCATGTCACTAACTTTAAGGTAAAATATTTTATATTTTATAAAATATAAAATTTTAACATACGTTAAAATATATGAATAAATCAAAGCATTTGCCTTTAAAAGTTTGACTGTTTATTCAGTTCTGCTGGATACATATGTTACTTTAACTGGTTTCTTTTTTTAAGCCTATTTTCATTAGTCACTAAGTAGAAGATATGGGTAATTAGCAGAATTGTTAATCTCATCCCCATAGTTGACCACTCATCTTCTGCTTTTCTTGAGCACCACATAAACCAAGTCTGTAAATTAGCTTATAACTTCAGGCAGAGAATAAGAAGGGAAAAAAATAACCTTTAGGTTTTCTGATTAAACTTGAAGTTACTTTTTCTGGGTATTTTAAAGGATAAAAGGATAGCTCTTTCGCCTACCCTTTTAAAGAGGTCTCTGTAGGAAAAGGAAACCTATCAAATTATGTTAGCATAAAGGAAGTTAAGCATTGGCCCAGAGGTAAAGGGGACTAAAGTGTGATTTCGCCATATATTTTCCCATTGTGTTAGTTTTGATTAGGTTTCTAACCTGCAGCTGCCTAAGGGCTATAAGTTCCCTTCATATTGTATCTGTGCAGTTGGATAGGAGATTGATTGGTGATGGAGCCTGGGACTTAGCTCTCTGACCCCATGGACTTTGAACAATGTAGCTGAGTGAGTTAATGATTACAGATAAGCCTTATTTCAATGAGAAGCATGTTTTAAAATTATTTATTCAAAATAGTCAGTGTTCCCATTAACAAAATAATTTTAAATTGATATACAGAGAAATAGTCGTTTGCACATATAATAGACTGTTCCTAACTCTGACTCGACTTTTACTTGAGAAAGTAACATCTTCAAAACTAACATGTCATTTCGACTTCGAATTCTCGAGGTTTCTTTTTAAATGTCTTACATTTCAGAGAATATTTACTTTTTTTTTTTTTTTTGGTTTCTGCATTTCTCTCTTTTCTACTGCAATTTTCCACCTTTTGTGCTTGTGAACAAGGTAACGAAACGCCTCCCTTCCTCAGGAACATCTGCTGTCTTCATGCTTTCTCAAACTTCCAGCAATCACAGTTTCTCTTGGAGTGAATAAGGTGATTTCCTTTCCTAATGTACCAACTTGCTTGCATTCTCATTTGCTTGACACCATTTTCTGATTCATTATGAAAAATTACTGCTCATGCATCATTTTTTTTATCTTCTATTGATACTTAAGAGTATTTTGTCATTTTCCTTTAATCATTTGTTCACCTTCTCAAATTGTCACACTGGAGAGGAAGTGATTTCCAAAAACTTAAACAGTAAGTCTCTGGTCCCATTGATTCCTAGTATGCAGTAGAAGCCACGCATGTTAGAGCTAATCTGTTCACCAAGACAGGAATGTTTTGCACAAATTTCTCTTTGTTGGATACACTGACAGCACTGGCACAACTCTCAGAGGTGTTCACCAAAAGGAGGGTAAGGTTTACTAATCAAACCATATTGACTCATCTACCACATAATCTACCAGTGTCATTTCAAAAACCCAGGTGTGCCACATACTACTTATGTCTGTATATTTCTACCATGAAAACAATTGAGTTCCAGTTGGAGACTTTCTTAGGTCATGAAATGTATTCATTTAAATGTTATGCATTTGCTACAGTGTGATCATGTGTACTTTGGCCACCAGAGTAGTATATAGGAAGTGATTTTGTTCTTCTATATTTGTATCACCAGGTAGGTTAACCAATCTTCAAATTCTTTAAGTATCTTTACCTCACTATTACAGAGAAATCTGAGCTGTAAAAAGGCATCTGACTCATTATCCACCAGACCTTCAGTCAGACCTCTTCTTTTACGAACATTCTCAGACGAATCTAATATATTGTAACAGGTACCTAGCGGGCTGGCTTTAAAGAAACAGATTAACAGCATTATAAAGAAAAAAATGAAAATACCACTCTCTAAATTTTCTCTGCTGTTGGTGTGGTGAACTTTACACTATTCTTTGCAAAAATATAAAGATGCATTACTTGGAATATGGGCAAATATATATTTTAAATTTGCTAAGCCCCCAAATAAAATTTTAAGATTTTTCCAGAGCTAAAGGATAATGCAACATATTTAATTTGTAAGGGACAGTCATGGCAGTACCATCATATAAAAATGCTCATTAATACTGATCAGGAAATATAATTTGGATTTTAAAATGTCATTTGGAAAATTGAAAGTAAATATTCCAAAATTGCATCTGTATAATAATATCAAGTCAGTTTAGCATTGCATGTTCTTCTGGGAATTATGTGAAAATAATTCAGTGTGTTTGTATCTCCATGTGCTGTGTCTTGTGTGTTTGCAGGTATATACTTAATGTCCTTGTAAATGTGTGATCCCCAAATATATATTAATGATCCAGTCTACTGTAATCACTTTTTAACATCAAGTTTTATTCAAGCTAAATGTTTCGACTTTCAGAGGTAAAATCTTTCCTAGCCATTCAGGGGGATGCTAGGCTAATTAGATAGACTGCATCATAATTAATTTTTCCCCAAAAAAAGTAAATTCATTTTGTAACATATTCTGTCATTTACCCCAAAAAATATTTGGGAGGCATTGATATGCTGTGGGAGGACCCTTGAACTCAGAATGACCCCTCCCTGTGTATTCTGTTTCCCACTGCAGTGGCTTCTTGGCACCTCAGACCTTTATAAGTCTTTTCTCATCCATAGGAATGTAGAGTAATTCATGAATGAGGTTTCCAAACTTTCCAGCTTGGAAACAACTCTAAACAGCTTAGGTCCAGGCTATCTTTCATGCACACATAAAAATCAATGATCATTGTGAAAGAAACTGCCGGTCAGTTCACTTTGAAACTAACAATTATGAGTCTACCTCATAAGCCCACTTTTTCATCAGCTATCAACTTCCCCACCCTCCGGCAAAGAATACGTATTTAATTAATGGATTGATTCTGTTGGTTTCTTCATCTCCTACAGTTCATCACAGTCTGCATCTGCAGTGTTATTTTGGAAGCCAACTCATTTTGTGTCAGTCATCATCTTTTTCCCGTTTGGGGCAACTCACATGCTTATATTTTCCCTCAGCAGTGAATCTGCTTCCTAGTAGCTTTCAAAGTCTTTGACCCTTTTGTCCCAGATAGCCTTGTCTTCAGCTGTGTGGTGCTATACTGTTTCCAGTTAATTTTGTATCCCCCTGGATTGCTTTCTTCAGCTTGGTGTGTGGTTTGAGGTACTAGGCTGGATAGCAGACACTGCTACTGCTTTTGGCCTCTCCAGGGCCTTAACTCCTACAATACCTAACAGAACAAAGGAAGTTGTATTTTTTTAACAATTATTTTATTTCTAATGTAGTTATATCTTCCAGGAGTGTATTTTTATGCGGCATTATTTCTCCTCCAAGGAAAATATTTGGCAATTAGTTTAGTCCCACAGAGCTTGTCCTTGGTGTTGCTAAGGGAACTGCATGACACGTTTTAGAAGTTCTCAATGTGAATGGCAATCTTATTTTGGTTAGAGTCACCATGACCCTGCTATCTGAAAAACTGATATAAGAATATGGATTGTAAAAAGGAATGGAAGGCCCTCTAGAGGGCTTCTAGTCCAACCATAGAAAGGAAGGTGCACGAAAACGGGAAGGAAATAACACACCCCTTTAAAGCCCTCCAGCAATCAGGTTTAAAAAGGTTAGATTTTGGAGTGGAGAATCGGAGTAAGGCTCCCTCCACATAGGACTTCTACTTTTCAACATGCCTGATTGCCTTTCAGTGTCCTGTTGTGCCCCATTCTGATCATAGCATTTGATAATGTTTAGAGGACAGAGAAGAATCTGAAGGTTTCTTAGGGAAATTTCTGTGGTTTCTTTTCCAAAAAGACAATGAATAAGAAAAACCGAAGAGTCGGTTGACCTTTAGATACGTGATCTACCAAAAAGAAAATTAACTTCAATATTATAGAGGGAAGAAACCAGTTTCTTTCAATTAAGGAAAAATACCTTCACAATAGTCTTTCCAAACTGAATATATCTTCGGACCTTCTCTGTCCAAATTAACACATCCAAACAAGCAGTAATTGATTCATTCATTCAGCGTGTCCTGAGCATCTGCTATGTGCCTGACACTGTGCTAGGTGCTGGCGATAGAAAGAGAAATAAAATGTCCCTGTTTTCAAGGAGCTCGCAGACTAAAGGAAGGGGTCTTGGTGAGCTAAGCCTCTGCTGTGGTGCAGAGTCGTTGTGGTTACAACTATTAGGAGAACCCTGGAGCAATCCAAAAGCAAAAAGCAAGTCTGAATCTATTCAGCTGACAAATTACGAAAGGGTTAAAAACTGGTTATTGTGTCACTTTCTTTTTCCCTGCATGTGAATAAAACTTGGCACTTTGTTAAGACAATTGCTTTACTCTCGTAACAAAACTTACTACTTGATTTATTTTTGAAAATGCTAAACAGATGGCTTCACATTATTATTATTAAGGTAAACCCTTTAACTCTGTATATTTTAAATTTTTCAGAGTCTGAACATCGAACTGCCTATGTTACTGTCCTACAAGCATATTGATAGTGGTCACAGCTAAAAAAGAAAACATGAAGAAACAACTCAAAAAGCAATCATCTCAGGATACTCAATATGCAACCAACTAAGCCACTCTTCTGTCTAAGTAGGGTTCAGAATAAATGACCATTGCAATACCAAATGACTCTCTTAAGCATTTACAGTTATTGTAAGTAGCCGTTATGGCCAAAGCTCAAAGTTATGAATTATATGAAAGTCGAAAGCAAAAATATTTAGAATTTCTGGCTTTAGATAGAATAATGTAACTACCAAATGGGTGCTCCTTTAACCCATGAACTCTGTGAATGGATTTAAATACAATAGTATAAAATAGAAGTCATGCAATGGGAATGGATAGATTTCACTAATATTTCTTTTTTTGCCTGGCGAAAGAAATAGGCTGTTTGGATCACATTTCTCGTTCCTGCTGAATGGTAATCCTAAATTATTTTTTCAAACATATGAAAAGAATACTTGAAAATACAAGAAGACTAAATGATATCAGTGTATCAGAATAGTTCATCCTTTCTGTTCAACAACATGCTAATTTTCTCTTGATAGACTATCCTTGCCAAAAAATACCTTGAGCACTTATGTGGCAAGAATGTTCATTCAGGGTATTTTTGTGAGAATCAAAATATTGGGTTGTCGGAAAAGTCATGACGCATTTTTGCAACGAAAAACAGAAAACATACGTCATGACTTTTCCGACAACCCAATATTTTTGCTCTTCTGAATTAATGGGTTTATGGCTACTAGATTTGAAAATGAAACGTTGCCAACCGCTTAATCGCCCCTCAAAATAATTTTACTGGGATCTGAGGTAAGGTGGGCAAAACCATAGTTACATAAAAGTAACGGTCATTCTGAACATCTGTTCTTTTATAATTTTTCTGTAGAGAGGAAGAATAGCTTATTTCAAACTGAACGGTTTTTATTTGAGAGAGGCTACATTTGTCCATATATGCAGCACTTTTTTTTTTTTTGAACTTGCCAATTTGGAATTGGAAAGGAAGGATTCATCCCGAGACAGCGTTTCAGCCTGCAGAGCCCTGACTCCGAACAGGAATGTTGTCTCTCAGCAAACTTGGCTTCGTGATGATCTAACTCTAAACAATGAGATCCACCTTGGTAAAGTCCTCATCTTACAGGGCCAGAAGGAGGTTTTAGCCTCCTCATGAGTTCACTTAAAACATAAAAATAAATGTGAAATGTCTTTATTACATGTTAAAATTAAAAATTTTTTTTTGGCTATAAATGACTACATTTGACTACTAGGTTGAAATGGTCTTTTAAAAGTGTTTTCATACCAGGTTCCATTTTCGGTTGCCTTTCTGGAATGCCTGTACTCTTAGTAGTGTTTATATTGTACCTTGATTTGGGAAAGTATTGGATTCCATCTATACCGATGTATTTATATAGTCCATATGGTACATTGATTCTTCAATACATATATTTTGTGTTAATGTTTAAGTATGGTTTTTCTTAAATTCTAGAAAGGGCATAATTTCAGTTATCAGAAACCATTCCATCATTACCCATTTTCATTATTTCATTTGTTCTCATCAGTATTATTTTTTAATATTTTCTTAGGTCACTCACACCTTACCTAAGTGCTGTGTTCTGGTAGCCTGTATTTGAGGCAGTCTGCTGAAAACAAAGTCTACATAATTTTTGCCTATTCCAAAGAGCTAAAAAAATCAGACCCAGGAAAGCTTTTAATGTTTTGTTGTTCTTGTTGTTTTTCATGTTCGTGTTTTTATACTTGTTGATGTACTGTTATTGTTGTTTTACATAAGAACTATGGGGACTGTGAATACAAATGAGAGAGCCACGATAGATAAAGAGCCTTGTTTAATGCAGAACCATTGGAGATTTGACATAATCAGAATATCCATTGGCAGTAGAAATATGACTGGTGGCATATAAAATTCCTTGCAGCCAGGAAGATGAGTAAGGGGTTTTAGAGTCATGTCTCCGCTACACATTACACTGCAGTTCAAAATCACTTGAAAGAGGTATTTTATAAACTAGCTAAAAAAATGGCTGGCATGGGGTTAACAGGTGGAATAACTTGAAGTAAGCCATCCAGTATGCCTAGCATTATAACCACCTTATTTTGTGACAGAGAAAGAGGGGAAATGTAAGGATAGGATTATATATCCATCGTTTGAATAATTTTGAACTACACAATGTCCTTGTTATTTTACAACTGTTGTCCATAGTTTGAAGATGTTATCTACTAAACTGAAAACATAAATTCCATACCTGTCACATTTACACCAGCAACAGTATAAATAAGCCTAAATTTGCAAAATTCATAGTAATTTAATGATGGAATTTTTTAACAACATGCAGTATATAAATGTGCAGATTTTATGCAAGTGTTGACAAAATCATTTTTCAGCTTGCAAAATGGGACTGCAATATTACATTTTTCACTAGAGCAATTTTTTACATCTACGTTGTTGCTTTCTATACTGAATGTGAATGCCATCTTTTATGAATGCAACTTGCCTTTTTCATTACAGAAATTTCTGTTTGATGTAATCAATAAACTTTGGTATGATATATTTGCTATTTTAGCCTCTTTTTTGGGAAAGATCTCAGTTTGACATAAAAAGAATACAGAAGCAGTTTGGTGATGGGTAATAAGTTTCTGATTTCCTCTTTGCCTGTACAGATCACAAAAGATTGGCAGTTTCTGTATGCATTCAACTGGCACTTCAGGGCAGTACCTAATTTGGGGAGGTTATGATATTGGCAGGAGTTCCGCAAAAGACTGTGTTTTGTAAAAGTCCAGCCAGATCAGCAAATACATATTGAAAGTCTACACCGCTTGGCAGTGTGCTTGCTGCTGCCCACACATTGCACGTGGTGTGATGTATGGTCTGTGTATCCACCCCATTGAAATCATTTCACTCTTAAGTAGCCAAAGATGCAGGGATTTTACAATAGCTCAAAACTTGGTCCAAAATGTGTGTATACACCTCTCTCTCTCTTTTCTCTTTCCCCCTCTTCCTTCCCCTCCCCCCTTCTCAGACATTGCTCAGCCTGCATCCAGGGCCTTGTGAAAGTCCTGTTTGAAAAACCCTGTTCTCTCTGACTGCTGAGAAATTTAAGTTTCTCCACTATAGCTGGATGCGTTATATTTTTACACCTCCATCTCTGTTTCTGTAGCCCTTTTTTTGTTGGTAAGTGGGAAATGTGCTGTATTTGGAGGTGAGACCTGTGTTCAAGTTTCAACTTTGTCACAGTCATTTGCCTCTCAATCCTTCTCACCTGTGAAATGGTGTCTGGGGAGTGAGGGGTGGTCAAATGAGGTAAAGGATCAAAATTGCTTTGTAGAATGTCACTTGCTTATTCAGGCGAAAGCATTGTTATTTTTATATTAAGGATTTTTTTTATTGCTTTCACTTTTTAAATGAATAGTTATCATTTACCAAATCTTCCTAGATGTGTCTGAAGATTCTTTCTACCTTCTTGGAATTAGTCTGTTCAGGCTTCCTTCCCATCCCCCATCCAGCCTTGTGGGGACCTTCCTCAGTGCTGAGTCTGCCCAGGATTGGCCAGTAAAGTAAGTATTGTGAGGGTCTTGAGTGGTTTGGCCTCTTCAACAAGAAGCACATGCAAAGGTTAGGGGCTGAGGTTATCACTATGGTTATTCAGTGAATGTGTCCACGGCTGAAGTGCCGGATGCATACTAATGAAACTTGAAGGGCTGAATTCTGACAATAGTTGTCAGAAAAGAAGGGGCTTAATTATTTCAGGACATTTTTTTTAAGATTTTTATTGGGGAATTGGGGGATGGGAACAGTCCTGGGAATTGGGGGAAGGGGAACAGACAAGTTGCTGTCCTTTTTGTTCTTCAGTCTAATTGTGGAGGAGGATGTTGCTTCACTGGCACAAGTTGGCACCATTATTGCGCTCTTCCCGGGTGAGGCAGATCAGTCGCCAGCTTCTGGACGGCCGCTCACGGCGGCTGCTGGCCGCTCACACTGGCTGCTGGCCACACATGGTAGCCCATGGCAACCCACTGCAGCAGGGGCTGCAGCCTTCGCCGTCGCTGGCGACTCACGGCAGCATCTTAGGTGTGGAGGGCAGTGATACTGGCCCTCATATGTGGGATCCGAACTGGGACCCTCTGGTGTCCCAAGCCAGCTCTTAACCAATGCGCCACACAGCCGGCCCAGGACATTTTTTTAATTAATTTGACATTTTTTCCCAGCAACCGATGGGCAGGGGAACGTGGGCTCAGTTCCTAGTATGTGGCCTTTTTGTGTTGAAGAAATGTTGCCGTGCGGATCAAGCAAGCCCTCATCTCATGGACCTTAGGAGCAAGTGCTAGGCGCAGGCCTCTGGCCGAAAGAAACAGTGCACCTACCTCTTGGGAGGCCAGAATTCCTGCTGGCGGCAGGTCTTTGGCCCTGTCCCTTTGGGTGGGGAGGGACAAAGGACGCTCGTGGCTAAAATGCCTGCTGCTGCTTTGGCCTCTTCATCAATTTGCAAGAACATGTTTCCTTCCAGTAAAGCCACTGAAATCCCAACTCATACTAGCTAACCCGTATACAGCACATACTATGTGCCAGGCACTGTTGTAATGACGTTACATGTTTTCACTCCTTTAATAATCCCAGCAACCCTGTGAAATAGGTGGTAACATTTCTCCATTTGATAGAGAAGGAAACAATCACAAACCAAAGTCACACAGTTTGGCAGAGCCAAATTTGGAACCCAAGTATTCAGACTAGAGTATGTGCCCTTCACCCATCATTATACCACCCCCTGATGGCATGAATAAACATACAGCATGCCTTCAAGTGCAAAATACTAATATTAACTATGAGAGAGCATTGGACAAACCCGAGTTGAGGGGTATTCTACACAATAACTGGCTTGTAATCTTCAAAATGATAAAGATCATGCAAGGGCACGACTAAGGAAAGCCCAGATAAAGGAAACAGACGACATGATCCTCAGTTGGATGATGGACCAGAAATTGGACATTAGTAAGATTTGGTGAAGTATGACTATGGTGTGTATATTATATATGTTATATAAATGTTAATTTCCTGAGTTTTGTGCTTTGATTATATGTTATGTTTTGGAGAAGCAGTGGAAAGTGTATGGGAATTCTTGACTAGTTTTGCAAGTTAAGTCTGAAATTATTTTAAAAGTTTAATTTGAAAACTTAAAAAGCTAGGAGCCAGCCGAGTGGCTCAGTTGGTTAAGAGCTTGCTCAAGAGTGTGAGCTCTGAGCAACAGGGTTGCTGGTTCGATTCCCAGCCCAAGCTGAGCTGCCAACAGGTGGCAGGATGGCTCAGCTAAAAAAAAAAGCTAAAACAATGAAACATAAAAATAATAATGGGAGAGACCATTACATTGAACTGACTGTAGAAGACTAAAATACAACATTAGCTAATATCTGCATCCGCATAGCACTTTCCAGAATGCTTTTACATACCTCATTTCATCT